CGTTTTAAAATACATACTGTAGTTGAATGTTTTATGTAAAAAAAAACCCAGCGCGAGGGTGTCGCACACAGTGGTCACGTGGCATAGTTGGGTCAATTATAATGATATCTGACAGTGATTAAAATCACTATCATAAAAAACGCTTCGATACAAATCTGTAGATAGTGTTTAATTTTAAAAAATTAAAATAAAGGAAAATGGACCGATTTAAAAAAAAAAATGTCAAATGAAAGAGGTATATAAATATTATAAACTGTAGTGATCTATACATTTTTCAAAAATTTATAGCATTTTAAAGTTAAAATTTTAAAATATAAAATCGAGAATTTTAACACAAAAAGAGCATACGGTAGCCATTTTCACCATGAAAACAAAATAAAGTCCGAAATTTTTTTTCATAATAAAGTATATAATATTAGCTTTAATTTAAGATATATTTAAAAGTGTCAGACTTTCCGGAACACTTTCAAAAGTTAATTTTGGTCATTTTTAAATTTTCAGATTTCCCTCATTTACGGGGAATGAGGGAAAATTTTTCAATTTTTGAGGATAATGTCTTTGACAAGATACGATTTGTGATCGTTTGATGTATCGTTAAAAGAAATCGATTTGGTGAAAGCTGAGAAAAAGTGGTAACACACCAGTGTTGGTTCGTGGGTAGTGGTGGTGGGGGTGCGACTTTAAATATTACAACGCTAGTTATAGGTATAAAAAATTGTCAAATTAAATATAATAAAATAAAACACATATTATTATTTTAAGGTCGCAGTAGAAAATAGAAATGGAAATAATAATAATAATAGAGGTTATAATATAATCATTATACTATTATAACAACCGATAACGCGAACGTACACTTAGTAATTCTAAAAATAAATTACCAAAATTACCAATATAATACTATACTAATATTTTACTGTATGGACGACGCTGCCGGTCGTCCTGACACTGCTCGTGTGTGCATGCATACCACTTATACTGAGGGAAACAACTTTAATTATGCATTTTTATTAAAAATGTTATCATTAAAAAAAATAAATTTATAAATTAAATTAATTGTCTCTTCTTTTATAAGATGTGTCTTAGGTGTTACTTTCAATTGAAATATATATATTTGAAAATTTGATCCCTTACCAGCAACAGAGGAGGGGCTTTAAATAGGAACTTTAGTATGAAAAAACTTGGATTTTAAATATTTTGGAAATCCTGACATCTTTTGATTTATTATAAAATGATTAACATTTTGTTATGGTTTATTAAAAAATAATTTATGCATTCTAAGATTACGATAAAATCGTATTTTTTATTACTCATTTAAAATTATAAAAGGTTTTATTTAATTTATAATTGTTTTTAATTTCAAAATAACCAATTTTTAACATTTTTCTTACAAAAAATGTAAAATATATTGTCAAATTATTTATAATATACTGTCAAATGTCATATATAACACTTAACAAAATAATCATGAAAACATAAAATACATAATAACAATGTAGTATACAGATAATAAAAATATTACAAGTGGATATAAAAAATATATATCTTAAGCTAGAATTACTTAAATACTACACAACAATTTAGAGAGGAAAAACTTATGTTATGCCTATATACTGATTGTATTATTGTTTATCTGATAAAATGTTGTTCAGCGACACTCGTCGGATGTTCTCTTGTTGTTAATGTCATCTATTTATTTTAATTGATTAATATGAACGAGTAGTGTAGTTAGTATTTAACAGAATAATTTTTCAGAAGTGGTATCTTTTATAATCAAAAACTTTATAATATTTCCGACTACAAAATGGAGTTGTGATTTGTACCGGTGTGTTACCGTGTCGATACATGTTTTGCTTTTTGCTCACCAACTTATCAGGTACTGGTGTGAAGAGAGCACCGGACAAACAGTACTCTCTTTTAACTCGTTTTTGTTTTTTCTTTCTATTTTTTGCGTATATCGAAATTACGGTTATTTCAAAACCTCATGCGACTAAGTGTTGAATTGACAAAGTTTGATGACAAAATGTCGTACGGATTTGTGACATAGTAGTGGGATATATCAAATACGAGCTATTGTTAAAACTCGTGAATGGACTGTAATCATAAAACTGAGTGTGAGGCTATACCTTGTGTAAAATATATCAAATTGTATAACTCAACTGCATGAGAAGCCTGCGTTGGTTAAACAAGTAATACTAAATGCGTTTCACGTCGTGTAGCTTAATTTTTGAATAATGCGCAAATAGCCCTAAACATTTCGAAGTATCCGCAGAGTAATGACGGCACCGGTACTCTTTATAAAAATCAATAGCTAAATGTTACTAGAATAATTTTTTTTTTAACTTAATTTTCTAAATGAAGTTTATCCCTTTAGAAAATTACATAAATCTGTTTTGGGAAATTATGATCTGACTTCATCTAAAAGAATGAGTGCAAATTATACAAAAAATATGTTAATAACAGTTGTATATAACATTTATCAATTATTAAATAACAGTTGAAGCGGTCACCTCAAAAACGGCATAAGTCACCGATTTTTTAATAATTTAATTGCAATAATAACATTGACATAAGTCAATGACTTGTTTAGTTTTTGCAGCCACTCACAGATCGTATTGTTGACTATGATTATTTTATATTGCGTGTTTTTTTATCAACACCATCATAATGAAATAATAATATTGTAAGTTTTAAATTTAAAATTTTATTATTTAATTGAAAAGTTACCAGACTTAATAGCAAAAGCTCAAAAAAAACGCAGAATATTAATTAAGATTTATCGCAAAGACACTTGTAATACAAACCAAGTCTCAATTGGTCTTAGTCAAATTTCCCTTTACAATTAAAAATCATTGTGCAAAATTGGCCACCAATATCGCAACCGCTTTAAAATAAATGATGTGAACTATGAAATCCTAAATCAAAATATGGTACACATTAGACAACTAAAACCGTATTACAGCAAATCCATTGTGCATTCTCACAGTATTGACAATAGTCTCCAATATATCAGAAAATTAAGCAAGACACGTCACCCCCTAGACCACACGTTAGATGGTTCGACAATCAGAGTAGATGAAAAACAACTGCTTAAGTACCTTTTTTCTTTCTTACTCTCCGTCTTACCAACTTTCTCTTCTTTTCCCTCTCATTCCGCCTTATTATTATTTCATTCAATAAACGTTTTTCATAGATTAATATATACTACGTCAACAGCCTTACAGTTAGTAACAAAACGTCTCCACACACATTCAAAATGGAATCAATTGAAAAGTGGACTGAAAGCTTATATAGATTTCACATTCAACCATTAGAGAATACATCAACCCACGCTGAAAACATAGACGATCTTTGGACTAATTGATTGACTAGGTAAAATACGAAGAAACTTTAAACTGCAGAAAATTAAAACTGTTTGATGAACCAAGAAAGATAGATACAACATGGTATGACGATAATAAAATTAATAAGATATAAAAGGGTACGAAGTTGGTCAAAAAACATAAATATTTTTAAAGTTGATCAAGTACTAATACTCATCCACAGTATAAACCACTAGAAACTAATAGTAATAGACCTGTAACTATATCGATTAGATTATACGGTATTTTCAATGATCCTAATAACATCTGTTTATCATCATTCCACCATGACACTTCATCACAATCAAATGGGTATGATTGTGGTGACTTTACAAATCTGTAAGGAGAATGGCAGGCGGCCTTCCTCTAGACTACACGCAACAAAATGTCCAGGCAATCAAAAGACGTATTTAAAAAAAGCACTCTAAATCGAGGAAAGACCACCCAGTGTAGAGCCACAAAATCAAAAATAAGTATCAAAAATCTTAATAAAATTTTAAATTATTTTGTAATTTAAGTACAAAAATTTTTATTTGCTCATTTACTACGAGGACGTGGCACCAAAAAGATATGGGTGGGTGTGATGGTGTCACGATACTATTATTATAAGAAATACAATAAAATAAAATATAGACAGCGCATCTGTTACTGATAAATTGATAATAAAAAATAATTATTAGAAATTAGCAATCATTCTAAAACTATTTAAGCTCCAGGGATCTGTCCATCGTGGTCACCCACATAGCAATGAAATATTTCTAGAATATTTATTTTTGATATTAAAATATTTCTAGAATATAACCAGAATATATTGAAATATTCTCACAATGTTCTCAGAATATACTTTGGCAGCGAATATTACATTCTCACAATATTTTAAAGGTATATTTCTAAAATATTATAAAAAATATATTGTGACAATATTTTTAAAATGTTTTATAAATATATTAAAGAAATGCAAAAAATTAGACGGCTACGCTGGATTCAAACCCTGTACTTCAAGTCGTCTAGTGTTTTGAACTCGTTCGTGACCCATTGACCCACAGGTTGCTTTGATAAAATTAGGATAAAAAAGACTATTTAAGGTAGTTCAAATGGTTATTTGTCTGTTAAGTAATTTTTCTTGTTTAAAAAAATTCAAAGTAAATACAATTTTATATTCAATTTAGATTAGATTCATATAATTTTTTTGAAAATCGGCGATCCCATCATTATGATTTCTCCTTGTAAGTTAGAAACTGACTATTATTGTTGATAATATAGAAATATATTCTAACTATAATAAAAAAACTTTTTAGGATTTTAGGTTTCACAGGACAATAATAAGTTATAATTGCGCTGATAAAACTAAAAAAACTTTAACTCAATAGGCCTGCAAATAATAGCAACAAGGTTTTTTTTACTGTCCTTGACTTACTTAGGTTAATTGAATTAGGTTAATTAAAATTGATACTAATTAGAGAAAATGGCTGTTTACTTATTAAAGATTTAGGAATATGTATACAGGGTGTTCAGTAAGTCAGGAAACGGGTTTCTATTGTTCTCATTGTTTGTAAAGAAATATTTTCGGTGTAATATACTGTATTTATTCTCTTTAATATATTATCAAAATATACATAAACAAATATTTAAAAAATTATATTGTGAGCATATTATGAAAATATTTCAATAGAATATATTTTTTATTATGTTTATGAGATATTGTCATAATATTTTATTCAAAATATTTTAAAAAGTATTTTGTAAGAATATTTTGACAATATTAATATATTGAAATTGCTATGTGGACAGTTGACTCCAGTACGTAACCGTATGCTTTGTGCCATTCTTCAATCTCAGTACTCGATTGTCGCTGTCCGGCTTACTGTATAAAGTCAAGTCTTTATTCATTCTTTTTGACGCCCTTTGCACTTACCTACTTTCGTCCTCTACATTTCATAGTACTTCGTCTGCACCTTGTACTCTGTTATCTTCCTTACCTGGCACGTCTAGTATTTGTGTCTTTCACTTCGTCTGCGCCCCGTACTTAGTTATATTTCTTGCGTATCAGGTAAGAAATATAATCTCAAACTTAAGTATTACCCTTATTACCTTTCTATAACAACGGTCTGTCGACACCCAAAACTAATTTCTAGCGTCAGCCGTGCACGATCACACGAACGTGAATATCTAAGCAGTCATCATCATCATCATCATTTTCGCATACTTATACTCTTTCCCATTTCCCTTAGTTGTTTGTTTTATATCACGGTAGCTAATACCAAGTTACCTGATATATGCTTAATGATTCACGAACATATTCTTTTCTTTCCCAGAAAAAAACTCATTATTCTGAAAAACAAATCGAATACCTTTATGCTCATTTAGACGTTTACGTAATACACGGCTAATTTGTGAAAAAATATCCTCTAGTAAATATTAACTACAAGTATTAATTAAAATAATTCTATAGTATACGGTTAGAAGTATTATCATATTTTTTATCATAACCTAAAGTGTATGTTTTGATGCATTGTGTTTTATATTACATAATAAGTAATAACTTTCTTATACTATGTGTAACATGAATAAATATAGTTTATTAAGTAAGTTAAAGTGTTGGTATTTAATAAAACACCACAGTGGCGACGAAGAAAAAGAACAGTTGTAGGGTGGTATGACACAAAAGCGCATAGATTAGATAGTTTGGATGATAATAAAGCAGAAGATGGGTTTGAAAGTAAGATGAGAGATTTAAAAAATGATGGGTTGTCAAATAACAAAGATGAAAATAATTGTAATAGTAGTGTTACTGACACATAATCAGAGACTAATTTAAATTGTGAACCTTCGGATATTAATATTAAGGTTAGACCTAGAAGATTTTCTAAAAAACTGTAATGTATTATATTATCGCATATGTATACACCTAATTGTTGTTATCATTATAATTACCTAATATAAAAGAAGTTATAATCAGATAACGAATAACACTCATGATTGATCTCATTTTTTTATAAATATAACACATAACATGGTGCAGTCGGTATGAAAACAAATAGTTAACATAGCTAATGGAATAATGTATAATGCACCTAGTAAACTTAAACTTAAGGGTAACCTAAGTGAGAACTGGAAACGATTTTAACAGTTATTTGAAATATAATTACTAGCTAGTAGGCTAAACAAAGAATGATAGCACTCTTATTAAACTTAATTGGTGAAAATTCATTGGATATTTATAATATATTTCAAATTTAAAACAAAGAATATGAGCACGTGATCAAAATATTTGAAACATACTGTAATAAAAAGATTTTTATTCTAAAATAAAAGACAAAAAGAAGAAGAACCATTTGACAATTTCTTAACAGAAATAAAAACGTTGTGTAAAGACTGCGAGTTTACAGATAAAGAAGAACTTCTTCATGATACATTGGTTTTAGAGACCAATGATTCCGAAGAAATAAAAATGAGAGAGTTAAACTTAATAGAAGTTATAGAACGTCTAAGATTAGCTGAAATTAGAAAAGTCCAAACTAAACAAATGCAATCAGAAGTAGAGTTCATTGATATTAATACGATTCAATACAAGAAAAAAAACCAAATAATGAAAAGAACATTAAATGGGAGAAAGATTATAAATTGAAGATAAATTATAAAGGGTAATATAAGCAGATGTTAATTTAATCAAAGAGTTGCTGAACAAAGTGTAGAGAGAAATGTAAAAAAAAGGGGATTTGTTTAGCATTAGGTAAAAAGTGTATCAGATTTGGCAAAGATAATCACATTGCTCAGGTATGTAAAACAAATTTAAATAGCAACAATGTAAGGGAACTAAAAATAATGATATGACATGTAGTAAAATTAAGAGTGAATATTTTTTTGATACATTAATTATAATTAATAAACAAATTAATCATATTACATAATAGAATAAAAAAATAAGTATATTATTTTAATTTAAAGAATTATTTCAGTTTGTATCATAATATTGCTAACATTTCTATGTTTATCTATTTAATTTTATTTCTTGATTTAGATTTTATAGTATACATTTCTATTCGCTGCCAAAACAACGCAATTTTAATGTTTTATTTCAATTTTATGCATTTTGGACAAAGATAGATTACTTAAAATTATTGATTATGAATATCAGAAACCTTACAAACACACACCTGTATATAGGTGTAAACGCAAAAAAAAGTTGAATATTTTGGGGTAATTGAATTTTTTGGGTTCCTTTAAAATTGAAGTTTTATGACTTATGCCATTGTATATGTTTTTGGAATGAATTATTCAGTAATATTTTAAATATACATTAAATTTATCCAAGAATACCATTTATTTTCAAGTAGTTAACATCATAAACTTTTAAAAAATGTAGGCACACTATAGCAGAACCTTGTTCAGCACATCTTTTACTTTTTTCCCTGTAATATAAAATATACAAATATAAAAAATTACATTACTTAAATTTATAACGGTTTACTATTTTTAACTAAATATGCTCACCAAAATGAAGATGAATACTTCTTATTATCAAATGTCACTGTACTTTTAAAAAGTTTTTCAAACTGTTCAGTATGATATTTAGGTAAAGGTTTTCTATGCAATTTGGCCCAGTTTAATAATTTAGTTTTTGGTAAATCTTCAGGTAATAGATATAATGATCTTATGTACATACACTTTAAACTATTAACATCATCCTGTACTTCAATAATAGGATTTAATTTCAGTCGTTTTTGATCATTACAGGCTAAATCTCTTTCTTCAAAACGTAGCATATTCATTTTTTTTTGCGTCTCGCGACAATAGTCTCCCAATTCCCAAAGTTCACTAATAAAATATATAACTAACTTTAATAAATATATAAAAATTTAACTTTATATACTTTTTACAAACCTTATTTCATAAAGAGTAGTTGTTTCAAGAAACGCTCTTCCTTGTTGGGTTTCATGTACATTTCCCATCATATTTTGAATACAATACTTGGTATTAGCAAAAAAATTGTCGTAATTTATAGCATGACGTAAATAATCTTGAATGACTCTTGGGATTTCTAATTTGCCATCTTTTTTGAATATAGAACAATTTTTTTCAGCTGATCGAGCAATCATTAAACTATTGCATCCAGTTGCAATTTTAAATTTTTCAAAGTCTTCAAATATCTTAATATCTTTTGATCCTCCACTTCAAATAAAGTAAACCATTGTACTTTTAGTATATATGTTTAAAATAATATCAAAATAAAACTTAATTTACTTAGCAATTACTGGTATTTCTAATGCTTCAGATACTGCTTTAATAACATCATTTTTATTTTCATGGTATGGTCTTTCATACACTCTACGACCATGTATACTGATTGCTGCAATACCTGTAGCTTCTAGTTTTTTACAAAAATTAACAGTTTCATTAACATTATGTAATATTCTAATTTTACATGTTACAGGAATTTTTACTGCAGAAATTACAGTAGAAAGTATGGCACATGCTTTATCTGGAAATTTCAACAATGCTGCTCCCATACCTCCTTTTAAAGAAAAATTTTTAGGACAACCCATATTTATATCTATTCCAGCAACATCGTGTTGTCTAAAAAAAAATTTAACACATCAATATAGTGGTACTTATAAAAAATACAATTACAATTATACATAACACTATCAAAATAATAATGCTACAAATATAAATTTATTATTTTCACATTCATGGTATCTACCAATTTTTTATATTTTATTTAATAATAGAATTATTAATTATCTTGTATTCATTAAAATTACAATTATCATTTTTTTTAACTTTCACCCTTTAGCAGGTACCTGCAATCACAAAAAATAAGTGGGAGCTTATTATAAATTGTACAACAATTTGAAATAAGCTTAAAAAAACATACATACTCTTTTTAAATAGGTTTACTACAGCATATTAAAAATACAATTTTTTTCAAAGACATAACAAATTGAACATTTTATTCAATTTTTTTTTTCATATTAATTTAATAAACACTTATTAGAAAATATTAAAATAATAAAGAGTATAAAAAATTTTGTATTAAACTATTAGTTGGAAAATTATAACATACATGCATTTTACACATAAATATATAATATTACTTTAAATAAAAACTTATGCATAAACATATTATGTTAACAATTTATTAATAAACATTAGAACATGGGTAACATGAATTACACAGATAATATTATCACTCATGTATGTAAATTTCACGCAAAGATCCTGCTAAAAGATTAATAATAATTTCCTGATTATTAGTATTTTTAGTTTGTGGTTTTATTATTCTGATACTCACTATCAGATAGTACAATACTACAATATGTATTAATTATAATGATTTATATAAAAAAATTACATACACAAGTTTAGCTACCATTGCAGCTCGGTTTGGATCATTAGTTCCAATTTGAAGAACAACATACGGTTTTTCTTGAGGACAAGTACGAAATACTACAGTACCATCACTTTTGTCAATAAAATCAATACTATTTAGAGTTTCTATAAAATATGGATTATGCATATAATATAAAATTTTAAGAATCTATATAGGTATTACCATTGACTTTTCTATGACAATTAAGCAATTTATAATCTATTAATTCTTCTGTATATACAATTTCAGCTCCATAATCCAAAGCTAATAAACGCATAGGAAGTGTATTAATTTTAACCATAGGAGCTAAAATAATTTTGTTTCTGTAACATAATCGCTCTTTGTCCTCCATTCAGAATGGTTAATCAAAAATCAAAAAAATACATAAACAGTATGAACATTTCAAGTTAAATATACTTTCCAATATTATCTCAATTTGGAAAAGAATTTTATATAAATTTTATTTTGAACAATAAATTATATAAATTACACACAATTTAAATTATTTGTGTAAATATCTCGTTAAGTAATACAAAGAAAATTAAAACGAAATTATGATTTTTTTTTTTTTAATTTTAGTAATTTAATTGCAACGTGCTATATGAAACTATTGATAAGTGTTATCAATTTATTAGAATCTTTCTATTATGATAAAAGTCTATATTTATTTTCTTTTTATTAAAGAAAACATATTGCCACTTTTTAATACGGCACACCTAAAATGGATAGCCCCCGATCAAGAAGACCAACCAAAAAAAATAATTTTAAACATTTTTTTATTTAGAGCAGTATAAAAATAAATGGTTAGTAGCAAATGTATGATGCTAAAATATGAAATCAAACTTTAGAAAGTTTGATTTCATGATAATAAGTAGATTTTTTTAACCTCTAACACTAAGTAAAATTTCTTGAGAGACTAACTGAGAATTAAATATAAATTAAATTGAAGATGAAATTTGAAGTAATTATCAACACATTAAATATTACATTCAAAAGATTAAAATAGAATGAATAATATCCCTTCAGTCATCAAATTACACTTTATTTATTAAATAACAATTCTCACAAAAGTTGATTTCTATTTAAACTTGTTATTCCATATACTCAAATATTTATATGCAGTTATTAATCATAATTATAAGTATTTACAATGTTTAAATAATCGACAACAAAAACCAAATGTCATAAATAATTGATTATTATTCTTGCCATAGTTATTTGTCTTGTTCTTTAGATCTTCCAGCCATTCGAAATCTTTCAAGTATCATAGCTTCATAATCCGAGAAATTCTGAAATAGTTCAATTTATGAGAATCACAAAATAAAATTAGAAGTCTAACTTACTGCAGCTGTTGATTGTGTATGAGTTGAAGATTCTGTTTGACAATTATTTTGATAAGAAGAATTTGAAATAACAGGATTTAAATCAGAATTTTGCTCTTTTAATTTTGACTCCTTTCCATAATCACCAAGGAAGCTCACAGAAAGTGGGTTGTTAGGGTAACCTACTTCTAATTTCTGGGCGTTAATCTAAAAATATTAGAAAAAAACATTTTATTTAATAGTTAATTCAATTTTAATTGGTAATTCATTTAAAGACTAGTGAAATGCTTTGCTCCTAATACCTTTCCTGGTATATATCTACGAGAACAATTTAGGAAGAGCTTACCATCCTTTAGAAATTCAGTAAAATATATACAGAGTGGTCTACAATGTTTTTACAAATTTACTGCATATTACATGTTTGATTAAATAAATTTTACAGTTTTGGACTACATTAAAAACATATTTGATGTATTTATTAAATATATTTTTTTTAAATTTTAAAATAGTTAATTTCTAGCCCTAATGTAACAAAAAAATATTTATGAGTCAATAACAACTTAAGTATAAGTATTAATTAGGTTATAAGCATTTTAATACATAAAGTGAATATTTACCACATATGGGGGTACAGCTCATACTAGTGTATGAGCACTCTGCCCTCTTTATATACCTGATCATTGTACTAAAATTATTGTAACTCAATAAGAATTTTTACTAAAGATGTTATATCAACTACTTTTGTAAAAAAAAAAAGACTAAAAATAGGCCATTTTAAAGTTTCATTTATTTTTTGGAGCCAGAAATTTTAGTTTTGTTTTTTATTAAAATAGAAATATAAATACCTTTAATATAACATTGGACTAAAATAGAAGGGTCTAGTATAATTTTTGTTGCAAATTCAGAGAAAAGTATTTAGATGTAAAATTACTATGCGTCATGTGGTAAGTTTCCACTTACAAATTTACTTCTCCTACTATTCAATGTTTTACATCTCCTACTCTACAAAAATTTTGCTACTAAATGTTTTTTAGTAGAATTCAAAATAGCTCTACTTTACGGTATTAAGTGGTATAAATAATGAACATTGAATTTTAATAATAACACTTTAAAGTAAAGTCATGGAAGATCTTCCCCTTGTATTACCCATTAAATGAATCACCTATTTAAATCAAGAATTCTTTAAAATTATTGCAATAAAAATTTAATATAAAGCAAATTATGCAACAACATATGTTTCAACTTACTGCAGATGATTTCGATTTGAGCTCAATTAAAGCAACATTTTTTTTATTTTCCAAAACTACAACTGTTGTAACATCTCCATGCTAGGTTGGAAAAAAAGTTGAAAAATTATTAGTTCAAGAAATAATTAAATATTTTATACCTTAGAAAATAAGTTTTGTAGATTTTCTTTACTGTAAACCCCAGGTTCTTTCCATTTCACTTTTAATTTGTAAGAACCACTCTCTTCTTTTTTAGCTTCTTGTTGCCTTAGTAATTCATTAACTCTTTCTCTTTCTTTAGCAAGTAATGAAGAGCTTTCTTTTCTTAGCCTTTCTAATTCTTTCTATAAATAAAACATACAATCATGAATTTTATGAGCTTAATAATAGTTATTTTAATATAAGAAGAAAAAAAAATTAATATTTACTTCAAAATTTTTTTCAATATTATCTTTTTGTTTACCCATAGCCATTTGTTCTCTACGAGCTAGATCATCAATAAGTTTTTTTCTTTTAGAATCATACTCTTTTTCTCGTAGTTTAGCTGCAATTTTAGCATTCACCAATTTATCATAGGCAGCCTAATTCAATAAAATTAATTTATTAGGATATTAAAATTATAATAAAAATAAAATAAGAGCATACTCTTGCAGCTTTATCAGTAAGTACTGCTAATATTTTGGATAATTGTAAGAATAGTTGGGCTGCTTTGGGGTTGTCTGGATTTTTGTCTGGATGACATTGCAAAGCTTTTTTTCTATAAGCAGTTTTAATCTGAAATAAAGAAGTAGTATTTATTATTATGCTTAAAAAACTTTAAATTAATTTACCTCTTTTTCAGTAGCACATTGCTGAATTTCCAGAATATCATAAAGATCTAAATTTTTCAAATCGGAATCCATCTTTAAAAGTATTAAATATAAAGTAGTATATTTTATTTATTAATCTTCATGGGTAATTTATATCAGTTAATTGTTATCAGAGCGCTAACTACCGGTAATATATCTTATCACTTTTAAACAAACGTAATGTTGTATATAGTTTTTATTATGAATACTTATTACCCTTATGTATAACTTTAATAATGAACTTAAAGCCATTATGTTTACTAAATAACTGCAAGAGGTTTTTATAAATATATAATAATAATTTGTTTGAAGTAATTCTTAGTTATAATGAACCCAAATTTTCCAATTTTCCCTACAATGACTCCTAATATTGTAGATCCTCTATGGTTTAGCGTTGATAAACCCAAGAATGAAGATGCTGAACTTATACAAATAGAAAGTGCCCACCAAAATTGGGTAAACAAATTTAATAACTTAAAAAATATTAATTTTGTTAATTTTTTTTAACTATACACTGAATAATATTGTAAATTATTAAGTTAATAAAAATGTAATAATTTTAATTATTTAATAATTACTATAATTTTATTGCAGCTACTTACAGTTGTAAATAAAATAAATGATAAGGATGTACCTCTTCCAATTGGAAAAACAGCAACTGAGGTAATTATAATAGTTAGAGTACAGAATTAAATACGTTAATAAATTTTGTTTGAGCTACTTTGAAAGGTTCTAACCTTTAATCCCCCTCAAAATAATAACCTTGGTATTCACATATAACTAAGTTTCAAGTCAATTAATAAAAGTTTATTTTTATTAATACATACAGACATAAAAAAAAAAAAACACATAGTAAAATTAATACCTTCTCAGCTTTGCTTCGAAGCTAAAATTTTTACTGGCTTATATGTTCGAAATAACTTAATACAAATCTAATATTATTATGTAAGAAAACATTGAAATATTAGTAAATACTGAAAAAATACTTAACAAAATCTTATTTTGTTTTTAAATGAAAGAGCTAAGCAACATTATTCTAGAAAAATGATTTGCATAGATGAGAAAAAATTTTTTAACACCGTGAGCATTTAGAAATATTGGCAAAATCATTCATTATCGCCAGAATTTTTTTATTTAAAACGTGAAATTTTTACCATAGTTGTCCAGCAATATTCAAAAAGTATTCTGAAAACTTTGTTGAAATCTGCTGGTTTTTAACTGAGTTATAAGCTTTTTTTAAATAAGTCATTGTTTTATTTTTCTTATATTTTCACTTTTTTTTCAATTATAACTATTATGTTATAACTATTATACCACTATTATGCAGTGGTACCAAAACCAAGAAGTAATTTCCTTTCAATCAAAATTTGGATGGGCAAAGTATCATTTTAACAAAAAAATTATAGTTCAAAAAAAAATTTTTATTTGATAAAGATTTGTACTAATTTAAAAAAAATTTTTAATATTTAAATAAAAGTGTTTTCTATTATAGTGATTTTAATCACTGTGCTGGTTTTTTTTTTATTTATTGTAATAAATTAAAAAAAAATGATTATTTAACTATATTTTAGTATATTGTTAATAATTTTAATAATAATATAATAAAAAATAATATGCATTATCTTGGGTAAATTTTATAAATTACTGGATTTTTTTTTATATAATCATTAATAATCACCAAAAAAAACTTTAACCATTTCTTTAGTTTCGTTACAATCAAGGGTATCTATTTTTGCTCCTCTCCATGAAAAAAATAGTTCTGGCACCCTTATATGTATGGTATTATGTATTGGAAAAGGTCAACTTTTATAGTCATAAAGTTGTTTTGTAAATGAAAAAAAATTTAATTTGCCTCGCAATTAAACAGTGTGGTGTCAGTATGTGTTTAGAATTGATAATGGTAACATTGTTTCCAAAATACTTAGACACGATTTTTCAGTAATTTTTTTGGCATTTTGAGTTTAATATTTTTTAGTTTTAAATTAATAATACTTTTAATATAATTTTAATTTTAAGTAATATTAGCCACATGTGATCAATTTTTATTATACAATTAAACGATTATTAATATTAGTCTCAAATTGGATGGATAACATAATTATATATAATATACATTTTTCAAAGGCACTAATATTTTGTTCCTTCTTATTTAATCATTGCATTAAAATTCATATAGATACAAGAAGAAGAAGATGAAGAAGACGAAGAAGAAGAAGTAAATGCCTCTGATGATAGTGAAACTCATGATGAAGAAGAAGATGATGTAGAAATGGATGGAAATAATACATATGATCCTGATTCTTCTGTCTCTACTAGATAATTAATTAAAGAAATAATAATCCATTATTGTTGTGATCATACATTTTTTTTGTATATTTGTATTAAGATATTTCTACTTCACGTAATATTTCCTATTTATAATATTTTAATTGTATTTAATATCCAAAAAAATATAAGAATTGTTTGTATTTTCGCATTCAAAATATGGGTGTTCTCGCATGGTTTTATGGAGAATAGAACATAATGAAAATTAATTTACAGTATGATTAATGTGTTAATGAGCGCTATGTGTCAATTAAAATAAAAATTTGATCAATTTGCAATTGATTAGAAAGTTATAAATATTATTATAACAAATTAAAATTTAACGTCATTTATTTTTAATTAAAGCAAAGAAAAGTTACTTAAATAAAAAATAATTGACCAATTTGATTGGAGATAACAGACAGTTATTTGTGACAATATCAAAAATCATATTACATTAGAGAAACTATTTAAATTACATTTTAGCATTGAAGTTAAAGAGGTACTTGAATGATGTGTACCAAAAATTGATTAAAACGACTTAATGAACAGCATACATCTGATAAATTTAATTACTATTTATAATAATAATAAATTATAAATAACAAAGGGCTAAGTCCCCCTGGTTTCTTCTATGATTTATGAGGATCATTAAGCATCAAAGAAGTATGATGGTGTCACATTACCATTATTGTGAGAATTATTATAATAAAATACAGGCAGCACATCCGCTTCATGAGACTGATGAATTAACAAATAATATTTATTGCCAAATTGGCAATAATTCAAATTAGTATAAAAACCCAAAAGACCTGAACATCTTCGTCAGTCGACTCCAGTGCCTTGTGTAATTCATCAGTCTCAGTATTCGGTTGTCGCTGTCCGGCATACTGCTTAAAGCAAAGTCTTTGTCTTTTCCTTTTTAACCAATCTACTATCCTCCACAACATTTCAGAGTGCTTGTGTCTTGCACATCGTACTCTGTTATCTTCCTCACCTGGTACGCCTAGTATTTGTGTCTTGCACTTCGTCTGCACCTCATACCTAGGCGTTACCCTTATTTCCTTCCTATAACATCAGCCTTTCGACACCCACAGCTAGCCCGGAGTGTCAGCCGAGCACGGTGATTGTTGAACGACAACATACACGTGAATACCTAGACAGCAAGCGCCTCATCATCTTCGTACACATTCCACTTACTGTGCTGTTTTGTGTTACGACAGAAGTTAATTTTATGTTATACAATTGTAATCCAAAAATACTGAAAATGTGTATCACAAGACAAGTTTCTATAAAGCCCTCCGTCAAATCCATCCATGTATTTCTTATTTATATTCTGATTACAAGGTTTATGATTTATAAGTGTTATACATGAATAATTATATATATTTATAATATATAAAGGGAAATGGTGTTATTTAAAAAAAAAAAACCAGCACAGGTAGGTTGCGGCACAGGTGTGACGTGCATAGTAGAATCAAGTATAATGATGTCTGACAGTGATTAAAATCACTATCATAAAAAACGCTTCAATGTAAATCTTTAGATAGTGTTTAATTTTTAAAAATTGGTGGATTATTCCAAAAGCTACATGATCTGCTATTTCCTTATTTATATCCTAATTAAGATAGAGTATGTCGAATGAAAAAGGGATATAAATATTATTTCTCATAAAAAATTGTGTTGATCCATACACTTTTCTAGTTATAGCATTATAAAATTAAAAATGTAAAATATAAAATCGAGAATTTTAACACAAAAATAGCATAAGGTAGCCATTTTCACCGTGAAGACAAAATAAAGTCCAATTTTTTTTTTTTCATAATAAAGTATATTACATAAGCTTTAATTTGAGGTATATATAAAAGTGACAGTATTTCCGGAACACTTTCAAGAGTTAAATTAAAAAAGTTAATTTTTTTTGAAAATGTTGTCATTTTAAATGCCCTCCTGTTGGGAGGTAAAGTGTTATGATTTATAAAAAAAATATACCAAATAATAGGTAAAGACATCATGCATCTATAAAATAAAAAATTATATTGATTTGGTCATTTTTAAAAATGTTATAACAGTTTTAAGTAAAAAAAATTGAAAAAATTAGCGATTTTTAAATTTTGTAATTTTTTTGAAATTTCAATCATTTTGTTCATTTTTTAAAAAGTTCTACTCTTATCTATTGAAGTACGACTAGATATCACCCTCGATATATAATCGTGATATTCCTCTTTTGGTTCTATCAAATAATTTTAATGAATTGTTATCAGTTACGGTCAAGGTCACTAAGACCGTAATATAATGAAAAAGAGTTGACTACGGTGATGAAATACAATTTAGCTTTTCATTATGATCTAGTAGTTGAATTATTTAAAAATTCATTCTTACAAATTAAAAATTTTATAGCTATGAACATTTTTATTAATACCATTAATTTAATTATTTTAGTTATGTTATTTTTTAACTGAAATAATCTATTTCTGCAAACATATGTCGTATCCAAATTATTCACTATTAGAGAAGTTTTCTGTATTGGTATAGAATGTTTAAGAGAATTGTTGGTTTGGGTTTAACTAGTGGAGTGACAGCTACAGCAATATCTTATTATGATAATGGGTTAAATGTTAATTCTATTGGTATTGTGAGATTGGGACGTGCAGCAATTACAGTATGTACATTATTTTATAAATTTACATATTTTAACAGGGTTCTTTTTTTATTACAGGGGTTACGTGTTATTGTACATTATAAAACTACTCTTTATGCTCCATCTGTGAATAAAACATTACCAAATTATCAAGAAATTAGATCTAAGGTATTAAAAAATATTATTAATATAAAAATGTGTATTATATATTTCAATTTTGTTTTTGGTTGCTTATATTTTATTGTAATTCAGGCTCATAAAAAAGGAGCTGAACTATTACTTCAGTTATGTTACTCTAATAAAGGTGTTTATGTAAAAATTGGACAACATATTGGAGCTTTAGAAAATCTTTTTCCAAAAGAATATACTGAAACTTTAAAAGTACTTCATAGCAATGCACCAATTACCCCATTGTCCCAAATTTATAAAGTTATAGAAGAAGATTTGAAACAAGATGTAATATAATTATTTGAAGGTATATTTATAATATTATTTTTATTTTTTTGTTAATTTTTAATAGGTCAATGAGATATTTAGTGAAATAGATCCCAAACCTCTTGGCGCTGCTTCATTAGCTCAGGTTCATAAAGCAAAGCTAAAGTGTACTGGAGAAAAAGTAGCAATAAAAGTACAACATTCATATGTTCATGGAGATGCTAGTTTAGATATAGCAATTATTGAAGTAAATACCAACTAAGTTTTTATTTATTATTATAATTTTTAGGTCTTAAAAAATGCAAAAAGAAAGTTAATTTATATTTTTCTGAAGAGTAAAATGACCTCAATATAATTATTTTGAATTTGTTATCTTGTGTTGTATTTAATTTTTAAAAAAATATAATAAATTTCTATTTATAATTAATGTATAAACTTCTTTTATTTAGGGTATGGTAAAAATTGGTTCTATTATTTTTCCTGATTTTCGATTTCAATGGCTTGTAAAACAAACTAAAGAAAATATGCCTAAAGAATTAGATTTTACTATTGAAGCAAAAAATACAGAAACTATTCGTTCAATGTTTAAACACTTTACATGGCTAAAAGTAACTATTTATTTATAACGAAGTATTATAAACTTTGCAAAACATTAAAGTTATTTTTAACAAGCTAAAAATATATTTTTATGTTGTATATTTAGATACCAAAAATTTATGAAAATTTTAGTTCCTCTAGAGTATTAACATTAGAATTTTTGGAGGGCGGTCAAGTTAATGATATTGAATACATTAAACAAAATAAGTAAATATTTTCATTGTATATTATTGATATATATCTGTTAATTTGATTAAAGAAATCTAAGTAATATTTAAAAAAAGCTTTAAAATTTTATTATACACCAACTATATTCAATGATATCTTATTCTTATCATAGAAAAAGAGAAAGTTATGTAACCCAGTATAGAAAAATACATTTTTAATATTAGTACGGGGATATAAAATGTATAAATAGTTTAACAAATGGACTATGCTTCAAATGAATTTAGTATCCTTAATATAAAATACAATTAGGGAACATTTTTATGTGTAAAAGTATTCCCTATAGAAGAATTAATTAAAAAACTACTTATTTTTTTTATAATATAAAAATTATAAAACTTTTTCTCTCATAAAGACTAGTTCTTATTGTAGACGCAATTTTAGAGACTCTGTCTATTTGTTAACAAGATATTATGTAGTTAAGTTGAAGATAGTTTATTTTATGTATTAAAACTCTTTAAAAATAAATTGAATATATTTTAAAACTTGGGTGAACAGAACAGTGTAGAGAGTAAGAAATAGTAGTTCAAAGTATGCAAAAGAGCAAAAATAGAGAATATTGGATGGAGTATAAACATTTGTGTATTGAAGCCAAGTATGAAGTAAGTAAGGTAAAGTTTAAGAGCTAGATACAAAGAAAAGTAAAAAGGAAGTCTATGAACTTGGAAAAATAAGAAAAATACAGTCTAAAGATTATCACTATGTATGGTGTATACAGACTGATGATAAGAGAGTGCTAACAAGCGATGATGATGTAAAAAAAAAAAAAAACGTTAAAAAGAGTAATTTGAAAAATTACTGAATGAAGAATATCTAAGAGAGACATTAAAGAATATTTCATAAAACGAGGAATTGGTAGATTATATTAGTGAGAAAGAGGTATGGGAAGCTGTGCCATAAAAAAAAAAAGAATATAGTAGTAGGACAAGTGCCAATAGAAATATGGAAAATATTAGGCGGTTTTGGCAAAAGGTTGTTGAAGGATTTTAAATAAAATCGTTTTTAAGGGAATATTCCAAATTAATGGAAGAATAGTATAGTGGTGTCGATATTTAAAGGTAAAGGTGACATACATGAGTGTGGAAATTATAGAGGCATAAAGCTTATGAGTCATAGTATGAAAATTTGGGAAAAGGAAATACATTAGAGAATAAGAAATGAGACATCGGTATCTAAAAATCAGTTTGTATTAATGCCTGATGAGTCAACGATAGAGCCACTGTAAGACAACTAATTGAAAAGTATAGAGAAAAGAAGAAAAAGCTGTGTATGATATTTATAGATTTGGAGAAAGCGTATGATAGAGTACCGAAAGAAGTATTAATGAGAAAAGGAATCCCAAAAAGGTACATTAATATAATGGAGGATATATATGATGACACTGGTACCAGGGTAAAAAGTGTGGGCGGAGTAACAGAAGATTTTAGGGTAAGAGTAGGAATGCACCAAAGTTCTGTCTCAAGCCCTTTCTTACATTCTATTGTGATGTATGAAATTACTAAAGAAATACAAGGAGAGGTACTGTGATGCATGTTGTTCCCTGACAATACATTGTTAATAGGAGAAAATAGGGAGGAAATCAATTAAAGGCTAGAGGTATGTAGATCAGCTCTTGAAGGAAAGGGATTAAGAATAAGTAGGAGTAAGACAGAGATATAGTGCACTAGTTTGACAAAGGACAACACAAGGTAGGTGTAATGAGGATATCAGTGACAATAAGTAAGGAGGTGATTGGAGAGGTGGAAATTTTTAAGTATTTAGGAACAGTTATAAAAATGAAAGTTGAAGGAAAGAGGTAAAGGAAGGCCATAAAAGAGATAGAGGAATGTTATTGAATGTGATATGAGGACGGCTGGATGTAGGATAATCGTGTCTAGTGGAAGTTTAGGATTAAGGTGGGCGACCTCAAGTAGTTGTGATAAAGGCAAGTAATTATTATAAATTATTTTAAAATTTGGTTAGTAATAGAACACAAAATTGTCAATTAACTGAAGCATTAGCAATTCTTTAGTTGAATTACAGATATAATATCGGTGTTACTATTAACATTATTATTTATAATTTGCTTGTATTATTTATAATATGCTTCTTTATGTAGGATCAATATTGATGAAATATCTGATAAGATTGGTAACTTATATAGTGAAATGATTTTTAAAAATGGTTTTGTACATAGTGATCCACACCCTGGAAACCTATTGGTGAAAAAAGATGAAAATGGAAAACTTAATCTTATATTATTAGATCATGGATTGTATGCTGTAAGTTAGAATAATAAATTATAATATTTTTTTGTATTGCAATAAAAATATTTTTACAGACTCTAACAGACAGTTTTAGACGTACATATGCTAAATTATGGATAAGTATATTAGATAAAAATCACGATCAAATGAAAAAGTATTGTACAAAATTAGGAGTTAAAGAAATGTATGGATTATTAGTATGTATGATAGCTGGACGTACTTGGGATTCTATTCAAGATGGCATTGTAACTAAAAAAATTACTAAAGAAGAAGTTTGTTTATATTATTAGCTGAAGTATATTTTATATGATCAGAGTGATTGATTTATCATTGACCATTAGATTTCTTTTAAACAATAATACCTAAGTAAATTGTTTTTTTGACTTATTTAAGCAGTTATTTCTCAATTTTTTAGTAGTTAGATATTTTTTAGGTATACCCCTTATAGAAATACTAACTTTATTTTTTTAAATGGCTACATATATATTTAACTAGTTTATATAATAGAAAATGATTGATTGATAACAAATTGTGAACTAGTAGTTCAGAATATTTTTTATACTTAGGTGGTAAGAGTAGCATGTCAAAGTGATTGGTAATAATAAAAATATAATCTGTATCTTGCTCCTCTAAAATACATAAAAAAATGTGTATAACTTCCAAAAGTTTTATTGTTGTTATTTTAATTTGTAAAAATTTGTTAATATTTTACTCCAAATCAAGAAACAAATAAACAAAATAAAACATTCTTTTTTTCGAAATTTTTAGTACTTTAAGCTATAAATCAATCACTCTGTATATCTATGAAGTGTAATACAATATTTTTTTCAGAGAGAACAATTTCAGTCAGATATTCCTATGATACTTACAGACACTTTATATATTCTTCAAACTGTCAATCCACAAATTTTGCTTCTTCTTAAAACTAATGATCTAATACGTGGGATTGATACAACTTTAGGAACACATTCTAAGTAATTACTCTTCAAAACTTAATTTATTTAATTTTAACCCAATTTTTTTATAGATTGACTTCCTTACGACCTATGACTGTTAGTTGTATAAATACAGTGTATGAAAAACAAACACCTAAATCTTTTATGACGGAATTAAGTATTAAAATTAAAAAACATTGGGCATTATTTAAAGTAAGATTATTTTATTTTTGGATTGGCTTATTTGATGTTGTGTAATATTTTCATTGAGTTACAATCTTTTTTTGTGCGATAAGTTATAGTAAAGTTCAAATTATATTTATTACCATAAATGACTGTTAAAAATTTATTATATATTTATTGTATATATATTTAAAATAAATAATAAAAGAAACTAAAAATATAATGGCATATATTTATTTTCCAAAGCAATCATAGCCATTAATTTATTAAAATATTAAAGACAAATTCCTAAATATAATTTTGTTTTTTAGACTTTCTAAATTTTTTAGTTCTAGCTACTATATAATTAAACTATATTAACTGTACAATAAAATAAAACACTAGAAAAAAAGTATAGAGTAATTAATTTCAACATTAAAATTTGTACCTAAGGAGCTTTAAAACATATTTTGTTTATACTTTTTGAAATCTTAAATATTAAACCATGGATATTGACTTTTGCTTTAAATTGAACAATCACTAATTAATTATAGAAATTTGATAACCCTAAATATATTCATAAATACCAATCATGTATATCCATCTACTTTATATTATGTATTAAAACAATAAATACATAGTTATCATGAGGACAGGATTAAGACAGTATGAATTGGTTAGTTTAAAGCACAATAATAATCATTTTTGCATTATTAAAACAAACAATTTTGAAGCTAATTTTTATTTTTATTTTAAAATGCAGCGATACATAATAATATTAATTATTAAATACTTACTATAATAAATATATAATATATATAATTCTTATATATTAAAATTGTTTTTATAAAGGAATTTTATTAAATGTAATAATAAGGTAAATGATTTTGGTTTAGTTACATATTTAATGATTTATTATTATAAGTAATTGGATATATGATAAATATCATATAATTACATAAATTAAAAAATCAGTCTAGGTTATACCTCAAAATCATGGTAACATATCAATATCTTATTATATGAGTTTATTTAGGGCTACAAAGGTTAAAATATTTTGGCTGATTATAAATCATTAGTTTGATTGATCATAAATTATTTTAAATTTCAAATATAATTTTCAGTTTCTAGATTAAAATGAATATTTTGCTTATGACTATTACCCTAATAAGGGTCGATGTAAAATACTTAGCATCTAAACTCAGTTTAAAGGTGAATTTTATTAATTTTTAGTCACAAAGGTTTACTATTAAATCTTTATAACTAAGATAAAAAATATTAGTGATACATATTAAAAAAAAATCCAACATTAAATTTAGTTATTCCGGAATTTTATTCATATATCATATAAAAGTTGGAGTATATTATATTACAAGTAACTATTTTTTTCTAACTTATAGTTAATTATATAATATTGGTCGACCTCAAGTAGCTGGGATTAAGGTGAGGAAAAATAACATAGCTAATAATATAATATTAGTGTTTCTATCTTAAATAAAAATTTTATAATTCCAAATTTTTTAGTTGATAAGTCTTTAAAAATAATAATTTTTGTGTTTTTAAATCTCTTTAAAACCAAATTTATTAACAAATGTGGTAATAGGAAAATAGACTGTTACATTTTAAAACCTAAAATTCATAATTTCAATTTATAAAAATATCACAATATTAATGTTTCAGTTTTGTTAAAATTATTTCTAGTATATTAGCTTGGTTTACATTTGAATACTTGTTATAATCATCTGATAATTTTAAATATGACCCATATTATAATCAAAAACATCTCCAGGTCAAACTTAACTTTTATACTTATTCACTAATCAATAATTAAAAACATACCCGTTTTGATTATTTATATATACAACAGCCACAATAAAAATGTAGCAAATTTATAAAATTTGTGTGAATTTTACAATTATGAAACTATTAATGAACTTCTTGGTAGTTTGATTAAATAATAAAAATTTAGAGAATTAACTGATATAAATTGAACCAGATAATTCTTTAATGAAAACTGAAAATTTTGGAAAATAGTGATAAATAAGATTTGGACATTTTATGCATTTATAAAATTTGTTTGAACTATTTCTGAGACATTCCAACTACGTGAAAATTTATCATAAGTATACATAGTAATAAAAGAACATTTTTTGTTCTAGGCAAACTCATACCCTACTACTTAAAAAAACTAAATTTCTAATTTAAATACATTAATTAAAAAAACAAACATGAATACTTATTTACCATTTATGTACTTAGTATGACTAAAGTAAACCATATAATGTCCTGATATCTAGTAATACATATAACTAATTAATTAAATTAAACCACACTTACATGTATATATATATTAGAGCACAACATTATTGTAGATTTACAAAGTCACATAGAATGTACACAAATTTCTTAGTAGTTAATGTGTAGATTAATATAAAAATTAGAATTTGATCATGAGCTTTAGATAATATTAATTATAATGCCAAGAAGTTAATTTTTTTTTCAATTTATATGTTATAAAATTCAATTAATTACTTAAAAAACCAATAGCAATTATGTTTTGGTATTGAATTGAATGCATAAAAACAGTCAAATTTCCAAAAATCAAAGACCAGGGTGGTTTATAAATATAGGTAAAAAAATAAATAATTATTAAAACTACTTATTATAATCAATTTGAAGAATTATTATATTAATTGCAAAATTTTTAGTTGTACTAATCTATTAACGATTTAAATATTAAAATAATTAATAATTTAGCTACTTGTTATTCTGACATGCCAATGTAACATTTACTTAAGTTATTTAAAAATAAAAAATCTTAGATATTTTTATATTTATTTCAAATAGGATAATTAATAGAAATAATTATTTCAATCATTCGTGTAAGTATAATATTTGTTATTAAGTTCATTATTAAATAATATCTATAAACTAATGATTGTTAATATTTAGTTTTGAAATAGAGTCTATTTATAAAATATGAAATTATAATTAACATTCAATATGAATTATTTGTGTAACCTTTTCCTATGTTTATTTAATGCAGAACATTTAGCAAACTTTTCTTCACAAACATCACATTTGTAGGGTTTCTCTCCAGTATGAATTCTTCTGTGTTCAATTAAATGAGAGTTTCTAGTATATCTATTTTCACACATGTCACAACCATATGGCTTATTGCCACCGTGTATTCTTCTATGTTCAATTAGGTTGGAGGGACGCACAAATTTTTTGGCACATATTTCACATTCATATGGTCGATCTTGGCCATGTATCTTACGATGAGTAATTAGATTTGAATAGTGAGCAAATGTTTTATTACAAACAGCACAAGTATAAGGTTTTTCACCAGTATGTATTCTAACATGAGCAGTTAAATGACCAGGTTGATGAAATGCTTTACTGCACACCGCACAACGATAGCGTTTATCTCCACGGTGTGTTCTCATATGCCGAGAAAGTCCATAAGAGTTAGAAAAACGACTTTTACATAATAAACAGTTGAAAATTTTTGTATGAATTCTTTCATGTTTGATAAGATCAAATTTATTTGAATAATGTTTATCACATGTGTCACACTTAAATACTTGTGCATTTTTAGCTATAAAATATATAACATCATCTATTGATTTTTGATAGCCGATTGGCGAAAAATTGTCATTTTGATTAACAGAAAATGAATTTGTGTTATAACTGTAATAAAAACATTAGTTTTTACTTATGATTAATATTTAATTATCTCTCAAGTAAGTAAATTGTTTTAGAGAAGGGAAAACCTGTATAGGTGGAATGAAATTCAACCCTAATACCTGCTCACTGAAGCATAATTCATGGTCAATATAATATAAAATATTATAATACAAGTTTTCTTTAGTTAAATACAAACTAATAAAAATCTATTTATAATATAAAAATGTGTAATTTCTATTGAGTGTAAAAATTAAAACTTTAAATTTATTATTATTTAATAATATAATCACAAAATTTTTACATTAACTATATAGTCTTTTTTTTTTCTCTTGCCTTTTAACTTAACATAATAAAAAATTCACTAACATGTTCAACTTTGCTAAGCATTCATTATACTGCATATAAGCAAAATTAAACAAAATTTTAAGGGTGTGAAATTTATTTTTCACTTCATAAATAAATATTTTTAAATAAAAATACATATTATATTTTTGAATTTAAAAGGGGATATGACAATTTTTTGAGAAGGGAGAGACTTGCCCTCATAATTCCACCTATGATGAAACACAAAATAATATAATTGATACATACTCAATAGAACTATTTTTAACAAAAGCATGATCCTGAACTACATCAAATTCATTTTGAATCAAATTTTCAATAAAATGATCCAACTGTCCATCAATGACATACAAATCAAGTGAATAATCAGTATCCAAATTTTTTCTGAATTAATAATCGAGATTATAATTTTTTAGTGTTTAAATTTTAGATGGAAATATCTTACCCTAGAGAGGAACTGTTAGTTGGAGCTGAGGAACTCATTAGTTGAATAAAAGTTCGCAAATTATTTCTAACAAAGATTGTCTAATTTTTTAATTAATTAAAATAAATTATTTTATAATAAGAAATCAAAACAAATCGATCTAAAATTTTTGAATAAATTCCTTATAATAATACTTAATTTACATTATTCAAAATTGGTGTTTTTTACAACTGAGAATGTAAATAAAAATTTAGCGCTATTTCATCTTATAAGTAATGTGTAAAAACCATTAAGGGGTGGATTATTAAGGGTAGTGAATGTGTTACTAAACCTAGTTATTTAAGATAGATTACAATCTACCTATACGCGTGCGTAAAGTTACACCCAATTATGCTTAAGATATAATACGCTTGTGCGTTGAAGTTGTGTTTTTATTATGGAACGAATCTCATGGGATACTGTAATTATTGCCAAGGATTACCACACAAAAAATAACATAATTTTAAGGATACCTTTAGATATTTTTGGATTAAATAGAAAATTTTATTTTCAGTAATAATAAAATAACAGTGCGCAAAAATTATATTGAAAAATAATTTTTAACTCATTTAACGCACCAATTGTTAATCTAAGCACAGTATATACGAAAAATTTCATATAGTCTGAGATATAAGTATCAGATAAAGAGATAATACAGAATTTTTTTTTTATTATCTGTGATTTAGATAGAATTATCTATAACTTTAAGCTACAGCTATTACCCATAAAAATGAAAAATTATTATCAACATGAATAATATTTATTGAATATTACTACTAGAGAACTCTTGTGATTATAAATTTAGTCAAATGTTATCGAAACAATTCTAAATCGATTATTTTAAGGTTACGTAGATTATATGATTACAACCAGGATATTTTAAATTACTTGTATGCATTCATATAAAATTTCAATAGTTTATTTAGCGTTCTTTTACACTATCTTAAAATTATAGCATAAAATAGCTATTTATTCTGTCCTTATTTGATCCTAGTTATAATGGAATCACTAACAAAATTCTCTCTGAATAACCAGGTAGCTGTATTTTATATTAGTATATTACATTAAAAATAAAAACATGGTGAATAAATTATTTAAAATTTCTTCGCATTTCACTTTATGTGATATTTTAGATAGTGTTAATGAGGCACATAGTTCGCAAATCCAGAGTACACTTAATACATAAATTAACAAGAGAATCTAAAAAGCTAAAGGGGAAAAAAGGTACAGACGAACAAATTGATAAAAATAAAAAAAAATCTGAAAGATTGGTAAATGAAATACTATATATCAAGGTAAGTGATATTAATTAAAAATAATTGTATATTTACAAATTTTTAATGTGTAAAATTTACAGAAATTAAATGATGATGAAGTTTCAAAATATGCATTACTAAATGAAACACCCGTTGCTGATATTTTAAACAATGTTGAAACTACATTAGAACATAGAGCTTTAGCTAGATTATCAGGACATAAATTTATTGACAATTCAATAAAAATATTTAGGGACAAATATTTAGATTGGAAATCAACATTAAGGGATTTACTAAATGATTTGGGAGCAAGACATAAATTAAAAAAGAAACCTAATCAGAAAAGTAAGAATAGTAATAATGTAACAAGAGAAAATTGTGTAAACAAAAAAGAAGAAAAGACTATTATTCATGATGTTTGTAATAAAATTAACAATTTAGAAGAAAATGAAGTGAATACAGATACAATAAAAAAACTTACTAATAGTTTAATAAAAGAAGATAAAATAACTGAAAAAGTAGAATCAACTGAAACATGTACTGATAGTATTGTTTCTGATAATTTAAGCAAAATAAGTAGTAATAGTGATAGTGACTGTGCTCGAGGTGATGATAACCAACAATCAAACAAAAGTAAAACTAATACATCTGTTGTAAGTAATTTAGATTTGCTGGTAGAAGTACCTAGATCAATTATAAAAAATAGTAATAAAAATGTTCAAATTAATAAAGCTAATAAAAGGAAAACCAATTTTGAAACAAATAAACATATTGTACCTGAAAAGAAAAGGAATATTGAAGAAATTGAACCTGTTTGTCAATCGGTAGATTCATTTTTTATGACAACTGATGATAAGGAATACAAATCAGTGTATAAACCACCTCCTTTGAAAGAAAAAAGTTTTGATGAACCTTCAAAAGTAGAATATAAGATTTCAGCCAAAGAAGTCTTCATTAAAGGCAAAAAAATAGTAGTTAATAAACAAAATGCATTTGCTAATAGAAGAGAAAGAAGAAATCCAGTAGATCATATAGAAAATGTGTTACATCCTTCTTGGGAAGCTAAGCGCAAACAAAAGTCTCTAGCCAAGTTCGAAGGGAAAAAAATTGTATTTGATGACCAAGATTAATAATGTATATAAAATATTTATTTTATGAAAATTTATAAATGTTAATCTTACAAAATAAAGTAAAAATAAATAGGAAAAATCATTTTGTTACTTGTTAAAATGTTTTTTGTTTTTAGGACTAGAAAGTGTAACTAATTGTACTCTTTTTTTTGTTGGAGGTTCTGATAAGTCAATAAGTTGTTTAATATCTTTTTCTTCTTTTACTTCAAATTTTGTTGGTGTTTCCTTATGTGAATTTTTCGCTTCTTGACTTTCTTGAGCAGTTTCATCTATTTCCATAGTTACAATATCCATAGATTCTGTAAATGGTATTCCAAGTTCTTCTTGACTAAAACTTAATATTGAACAAAATCCATCTGATGAAGAAACTATTAACAAACGACCATCAGAAGACCTATTTTTAAAAATAAATATTGAAGTTGTAACAATAATTAATAATTAAAATTATTATAAAAATTGAACACATATATACCACGAAAGATCAGTTAATCGTGTATAATGAATATCGCCAATATAAGCAAAAGGAGCAGCGTGCTGTGTGTCCATCAACAAAATGCTTGAATTAGTAGCAATAGCATAAATCATTCTGTACGGTAAGTCAAATACAGATTGAGTATTATCTTTTAATTGATACAAAATTGGTGAAAATTGTACAGCAATTGAGAATTGATCCAATGAGGGAATATACAGAACAGGTTTAGAAAATGATTTTCTAGCAAAAACATAACTAACATTTGTGGTATGTTTAGTTTTGTTTTCTTCATCAACAGATTCTAGAATACCAGATGAAGTAACTAAAATTTGACCATCTGGTGAAAACGCAATACGACGAAAAAATGACTTTAACGTATCATCATGAAATAGTCTGCTCTTTATTTCTTCTTTTTCAATATTTTTGTCTATAGGAACAGCTTTGTCACATCTGGTCATAATTTTATTATTTGAAGTGTTAAATATTCTTAAAGTTCTAGAGGCAAAAATTTAAAATAGCAAAATTAAATTTTTATTTAATTTTAAATGAATTAGCTAACCGATCACTACTTAATGTAGCTGCATATATATTTAATGGATCCCAAGCAACACCTTGAACAAAACCTTTATGATCATCAAGTATTGCTTTGTATCGGCCTAAAATAATAAATATGACTTAGGTTAACATACAAATTAAACTTAAAATATAAAACTTGAAAAACAAATAAAAACTCTTATGAATAAAATTACCATTATCAACATCCCAGATAATTGCTTTATTATCTACACCTCCAGATATGAGTTTTTTAGAATCTGGTGACCAAGATAAATCATAAACATCTTCTAGATGACCCCTTAAAACACAATGGCATGTCCATTTTTCAAGATCTTTTGCGTCATTGTCTTCTAACAAATCTGGTCGTTGGTCAGGCCCATTTTCAGGTTTAAATTTCCATAGAACAATTACAGATTCTAAAGAGATCATATTATGAGACTTTTAAATAAACACTGATATTGATCTTTTAAAATATTGAACTATTACCATCATCTCCTGTAGCTAACCATTGGCCATTAGGAGAAAAACGTACAGTATTAACTGCTCTCTGATGTTTAGTCAAGTCAGCTGCAAACTCAACATTAACATTTGAACCATCAAGTTTAATGCGCCAAATCTAAAAAAAAAATGATTTTATTCTTGATACAATATTATTTAATCAGGTATGAAGTAAAATTTGTAGTATAATTATTTTTACTGAGTACCAAACACTTACTATAGCTTATAAATACATTTTAGACAATTAGATATTTTATAGTAAATTTCAAATAAAGAATAATTTTTAAAATGGGATACTATCTAGTTAGGATTGTTATGGAGATGCTTTCATAAAACTTTATAGGAAAAAAATTATTGAAACTTATGGAAGGGTTTCTAAGAGATATTTTTTGGTTACGTATCTGTAATTGATTTGTTTTCTTCATTATTACAAAAAATATTCACTTACAAAAACATGAGAGTCTGATCCACCTGTAGCTAATCTATAAAAATCATCATTACAAGTCGGTTGGAAGTGAACACTGAGAACAGGATCACGATTGTGCCACGAAATTTCAGGAATTACTAATTTCATGATTTATTTTTACTATATCAATACTATTACACAAGTTCTGTTAATAATTTATAATACAAAAACCAAATAAAAATTTAAAATTTACGTCCTATTTATGTTCTTGATTTGTTTTTAAAATACATACTAAATCAAAACGACAACTTAAATACTTAGCATTGACAAGCGGCTAATTGAAATCATGAAAATACTAATCACCTTGGTTGGCCTTGAACATTTTGGCGGCAAAATATTATCACTTATCAGAATAAAAGAATTATCAGCTGTTTTATTAAATTAGAAACTGAGATATAAGAAGTAACTGTCGTCTGTCTTACAATGTGGAAGTAAAAAAAAAAACACTTATTTGTGTTTACAGTTAGTCACTATCATAAAATCCTTTACATTTTCGATGGGAGAAGAGTAGCACCCCTAATCATTCCACCATTGTTTATTTCTAAGCCAGTATCATTTTTAAAACTAGTGAAGTTAATGATATATTTTGGTCTGAAGTTTAAATGTTCTAATAGAGCTCGATTCAAAACGATCTCTTGATAAAAATCAATCAACAGTGATACAAACATAAGCTATGAATTTAATTTATGAAATAACCCCTTATGAAACTCATAAACCATAATTTCTATTGAAGTATTTAGACTTCATCAGTAATTTCATGATATTTGAATTATTTTTTAACATATTACAAATTTATAATTTGGAAAAAAATAGTTAATATAAATAAAAAATAAATAATATGTTAAATAACTATACTCTTCTATTAAAACAGCATATAACAAAAATGGAATATTCACATAAAAAATAATATATCAGAATAGGTGTTAAGTTCTATACACAAATATTAATAAAATAGATAAACTACTAATATTACAAATAAATGCCAATAAGGTATATCATTTTAGCAGTCTTTAAACACTATATTATATATTTCCTTATAATAGGAAACAAAATGAACATCCAGCCCTTCTGTTATATATTTTGGTAATTCATCATAATCTTTTTTGTTCTCTTCAGGAAGTATCAAACAACCAATATTTTCTCTTTTTGCCTTAAAAAAAAATACAATAAAAACTATTATTCGCGTAATTAGTTTAATCAGTTAAACCAGAACTAATTAATTACTTACAGCAATAGTTTTTTCTTTTATTCCACCAACTGGCATAATTTTTCCTTTCAATGATATTTCACCAGTCATGGCAATATTTTTATGAATAGGTTTGTTTAAGGCTAGTGATAGTAGTGCAGTAACAATAGTACATCCAGCACTTGGTCCATCTTTAGGTGTAGCACCCTAATATTATTAAAATTAATTATGATATATTTAAAATTTTTCTTATTAATTTAATTATGTAGAGTGATCCATAATATTTTGGCAAATATAATAACTTAACCTAATGAATATTTTGCATTTCTTATTTTTTTTTTAGGAGAAACTATTAGGAGAAATTGAGAAGGTACTGGTTATATATGATGTTTTTTCATTTGTCATGTGTTTATTTTACAGTAATAAACATATATATAATATAATATTGAAATATATATTGAGGAAAAGGTAGAAACAAAAATTCTATTCACGCCTACTATTGAGATTATAGGTTTTAATTTATTCCATAAAATATATAATCGTTTGAATGAATGCTTGTAACTAAACTTAACAATTGTATTAGTTTATAACTCAGTATCAATTTGTTTTATTCTATTGTTAAGTTCAATAATTAAAAGCATTCATTCAAATGCTATAGTTTTCACGGAAAAAATTACATACCTGTAATCTCAATAGTTAGCCCGAAAAGAATGTGTTTTCTTAGTATATCAAAAACTATTAGATATATTAAGATATTGTGGACCACCTGGAAATTTTATTTTAAGTAGTATATAAAATATTTTTTTTAACCAACCTCAGGAACATGTAAATGCACATTACCCGTTAACAGGGTTACATTTTCTGGATCAATTTCATTTAAAATTTTTCTTGCTACAGTATAAGCAGTTTTAGCAGATTCTTGCATAGTTTCGCCTAAGCGACCAGTTAACATGATAGAGCCAATTGCTTTATCTTTTTCAGTTACACTTTTTGGATCTTTTGTCCATTCTGTCTCCACATACATCATAGTACCTCCTACAATGATCAATAAAAAAATTAGCTCACAGGAAATTATATTTAATAATACATTTACCCATGGCAGTCCAAGCTAATCCCATTACAACACCAGGCTCAGGAATTTCATACATTCTATTTTTAGTAAAAACAGGATTACCCACAAAGTCATATAACTTATCTTTTGTTAAGGTAACTTTTTCATCTTCACCTTTAACTATTTTTAATGCTACTTTTCGTAATATCTAGAAGATAATACACAAAATTATTAAAATCAATATTAATATAAAGATATGATATTGTCGGTTAAATAGCTATTTGCTGTGTCAATAGTTATGTAGATGACAATGTGTAAATTGTATATAGTGTTTACATTTAGTAAAAATATCATTTTTAGTCAAAATTATCAATGATTAATTTTTGTGCTGTAAACAATATTAATTTAGTAGATATAAAAAAAAAGTGTTGTAAGTGCCAAAATATGATGTAAATTTATTTCTAATTAATTAAGTGAATTTTAAGCAACATTAAAATTGTTATGTTAAGCACCATATTTTTTTATATTTTGATGTACACACTAAGAAACTAATGTAAGATACTAAAAAATGAAAAACTAATAAAAAAAATAAAATTTATCTTAAAGATTAATATCATCAGATTAATACATGATTATATACATAAAAAAAATTAAAGGGTTTTTATAAAAGTATAAAAGTTATACTATTTTTAAATTAAAGCAAAATAATGTTTTGGCTCTCCTGAAAAGTAAGTATATTGTTCCTTGTAGCAAATAGCTTTTAACTAACAATATTTCAAAAACTAATTTTGAGTAAAACAATACTTTTTCAATATGTTTTTGAAGATTTCGAACACCACTTTCACGACAGTAAGATTTAATTAAAGTTGTCAAACTTTCATCAACAATTTCTACCTAAGAAAAAATAATAAAATTAAAAATATAACAAAAAATTTAACATTTATTTAATTACTTGATTTTCAGTTAACCCCGTAGCTTTTAGACCTTGGGGTATTAAGTATTGTTTGGCTATTGCCATTTTTTCTTCAGCTACATATCCTGATACATCTATTAGTTCCATTCTATCACGAAGAGGTTCAGGAATTGTATTTATCACATTTGCAGTACAAATAAACAATACTTTAGAAAGGTCTACAGCTACATCTAAATAATGATCCAAAAAGTTGGCATTTTGTTCAGGGTCAAGCATTTCTAATAATGCTGATGATGGATCACCTTGATGTCCTCTGTTTTTAAATATATCATAACATGATAAGTGAAAAATTTAAATATATAATTGTAATTGAAATATCAATTAATACTATATGATAATCACAACAACCTTCCAATTTTATCAACTTCATCAATTAGTACTAAAGGGTTTTCTGTAGACGTTTTTTTCAAGCACTGAATCATTTTCCCTGGCATAGCACCAACATAAGTTCTACGATGACCTTTAATTTCTGCTACATCAGTCATACCTCCAACACTGAATCTAAAGTACTAAAAATAAATATTTCTTAATATATTCATATAATAATAATAATCATAAAAATATATTAATTAAACATACTTCTCGATTTAGAGCTCTTGCAATAGATTTAGCTATACTAGTTTTACCAACACCAGGAGGTCCATGGAAACAAAGAATTTTACCATGTGTTGTTCCTTTTAATTTACTAACAGCAATAAACTCTAATATGCGTTTTTTTACATCATCCATTCCATAATGATCTTGATCCAATATTTTTGATGCTCTTTCTAAATCAAAATTTTCATCACTTGAAGCACCCCAAGGTAATTGAGTAAGCCAATCAAGATAATTTCTTGTTACACTAGTGAAAAAAAAAAATTATTATTATAAAAAATACATGAAAATTCTGAGTAAAAAATTTACTTGAACTCAGATGAATGATGTTCTAAAAATGATAGCTTGGTTAATTCTTCATCAATTACCTCCATAACTTTAACAGGTACATTTTTGTCCTACAATAATATATGATAATTAGAGAGTATTTTAGTTTTTTTTAGTATACAGAGTGATTTTTTTTAATGCTAATCACTCAATTTTTCTTAAAATAATTACTTTTTTGTGAATTTTTTTTTGACTAAGAGAGTAATAGCTGACATATCAACAATGTCTTTAATATTTGAGAGTGGTATATTATAATATACAACTCTATAATATAATAATAATTATTATTAATATTGATGTGAGCTGTAGAATATTGTTAAAATAGTCTTTAAAAAGATTAGTAACTTGAAGGTATCTGTATAAATTGGGCACTTAACTTAAAATAATATTTTATGACTATGAGAGTAGTTTTTGAAAATTACTTAGATAAAAGCAACTATCTCACTTTGATTCGTTCTCTAAATTTTTCAACAATAGAGTCTTTATCATCTTTTTCTAAACCAAGTTCTTTTTTTATTACTTTCAATTGCTCTTGGAGAATAAATTTTCGATGTTGTTGTTTTACTTTCTCATCTACTTCTTTACTAATTTTGATTTGAATTTCACTGAGTTCCAAAAGTTTTTTTAAACAGCTCAAAGACAGTAGAAGTCTTTTAGGAACCTAAAAACGATTTTTTTTTTTTTAAGATTTGGAATTATAACTTCTATTTTGACTTAAAAACTAATATGAATTACAAATTAATGCATACATCAGTTTCTTCTAAAATTTCTTGATATTCTTTAGTTTCACATTCAGTTATAGCAGCAGCAACATCTGATAGATATGAGGGATCATCTGCTACATTGCCATGTTGCAACATAGGGTGCAATATTTCTCTGTATATGGGATTTATACTAATTATAGATTGAATAGTTTTAATAATTTCTTGAGAAAGTGCCTAAGAGGAAATTATTTAATTAAAACTAAATATTATGTTAACTAAATAAATATTATGTATGTACTTTAACTTCCATTGTTGACTCATAAGGTTGGTCTTTAATATTTTCTACTTCTACCATCAAAACTTCAGGTTGTACTTTAGCAGGATCTGATGATTCTTGAGCATTTGTAACAGTTTTAGAACGTGTTTGACGTTTTGGACGACGATTGACATCACTTGTTACTATTAATTGTGTTTATGTTTCTAAATAAATAAAAACTTACAAACACATGCATATTTTTTTTACCTTTATCTATATCTTGATCTTCAAAATATGGTTTAGTCAGCTTAATCCTTCTGAAACTTTGAACAAGCATATGTAATTTATCTCCAAATTCTCGCATTTCATTGATTCTTCCTAATGACCCAATATCATACACTTCATTAATATCACTTATTATGTTAGCAGTAGTTCTAAAGCCAAGTAAATAGTTAATTAAATTAAATTAAATTAAAATTATATAAGTATTTTTTACTTACGTAGTATCTTTCCTCATGAATAGACCAATGAATGGCTGATTTAATGCTTTTTTTCTTTTTATTAATGCGATAAGTTTAGGATTGCTAATCTGGAAATGGTCAATAGATATTTTTAATTTATCAAATAAATAGATAATTTTGTTAATATAATTTATTCAATACTAAACTTGAACATTAAGGTGTTCAAAATAAAAACTTAATAATTTTAAATGAAAATGTAAGTTATGATGTACACACCTCTATTATTCTAAATAGTCTTGGATATAACGGAGGCTTTGGTATAGCTATTAATGGCAAATATGGCACACTATCTGGGGCTTCAATAGTAGCTACTGATGTATTATCTTGAGTTGAATTAATGTCGTGAATAACTTTGACATTCTGAGAAGCATCATCACTAGAATCATCATCATTTTTTCCATCATGTTTATTTTCAAATCGTCTATAACGTACTGGTACATTAATTTTTGATAATTGATTTAAACGTGTTAATGAATTCCTTCTTTCTTGGGTTGACAAAGTAATACCATTATTGCAAATGACGGCACTTGCATGACGAACCAGTAAATGATCGACAATAAAAGGCGGCTTAAGTATACCCCGTCCTAATAATCTAGTCAACATATTATTTCTTGAGAAAAATCTATAACGCGAGATAATGAAACATAACAATCACTTGAATAATTATTAAAATACAGAATAGTAATAAATAATTTGTAGATAACCACAGGAAAGTAATCAAAATGACAATTCTCACGATAATGAAAGTTTGTTTTTAAAAATTTGGGATTATTCAAAAGTATATTACCTAACCTCAATATCTTATCATTATTGTTACCACTTTAATGGTAAAAATGTTACCAGGCTAGACATTTTATCAATTTATTTCAACTGTTAACTATAATCAATAACTTGGTAAAACTAAATGTTTTTATATTTGACCAAAAAAATATTTTTTTCTTAATTCAAAATGTAATGAACTATTTTCTTTTATTTAAACTAATTTATGTATATTTAACATCCTCAAAATCGCATGTATAATAACAACTATGAGTTCTTAATTTAGACAATGCACATCAGATTTGAAAAAAATGCTAATACAAAATGTGACAGCGAAATTTTGTCTCTATCTTGGATGGGTAGAGTTCCGGACAATGCAGAAGTAAGAACTATATAATTTTGTATTTAGTATACTTGATATAGATTCATTAAGTTCACAGAAAACTTATTATCTAAATAATTTTTTTTTAATTCTGTTTCAACAATTTTTTTCTTATAAACAGTCGTTCTTAATATAATTAATTTTTTTTTTAATGAACTCATAATTACATTTTATCATAGGAAGAAGGATGGAATTTAGATGGACGAAATTATTATCAACAAGGTTGGTTAGCAACTGGTAATGCTCAAGGTATTGTTGGGGTTACATTTACATCAGTAAGAACCAGTTATGAATCAACAAATGAAAGATTTCCTCTGAGAACAAATTATAACTTGAGAAATCATCATGCTAAGGTAAATTTTAAAAGAGGAAAATAAATTTATAACCATATTAATTTTTTTTAGAAATATTTATTTTTCTAATATTATTTTATCTTAAACATGTATTATTTTAATTGGTTTTATTTATAGTTTTTATGGACATTAAACACCATTTATCCAATTTTATTTTTATCTTTTGCGTTTATATTATTTTGGTGAGTTATTTGTTATTTTTTTTTGTAGTTTATCATTTACATTATTTTTATGTAGAAGGTCACAATTTTTTTATTTTTTTTAAGTTGTTAAACAATTTTTATGCATTTTTAAATATTTTATATAAATATTTCATAATTTTAAACAGTAAAATTAAAGTAAAGTTAGAAGTTTTTTTTCTGTACACTGTTTTCAAAGTTATTTATTCCAATCATATAAGATAACACAACTAAGATAGTTTATGTAGTGAGATAATACTGCAATATTCAAATAAAATTTGTAGTCCATTTCCCACTTAAAAAAAATTATTATAATTATGCATTCTCTGTCATAATCTTAATAATCTCTGTCATAATGAAGGAGGTTGTCAATAATTAAGAGCCTAATCTTATTTTTGATTTACATTATAAAAAGAAGTTTAACAATAATTGTACTAATTGATAAAACTTCCGTGACCTTTTATTTTATTTAATTATTAATGTGATTGTATTCATTAATTATGATTTTTTACATTAATTTTATAATTATTTGAAGGTTGTACTTGTTAAATGGAATGAACCCTATCAAAAATTGGCATCATGTGATAGTTCTGGTGTAATTAATGTTTGGGCTAAATTTGATTGTCGTTGGAATGTTGAATTAATCAATGACCGAAATACAAGAGTAACTTATTTTAGTTGGTCTCATGATGGTAGACTGGCTTTAATTTGTTATCAAGTAATTATGACTGTATATAAAAATTATTATGAATGTTTAACTTTTTTCTTTTTCTTAGGATGGATTTGTTTTAGTTGGTTCAGTTACAGGACATAGATATTGGTCATCAATGTTGAATCCTGAAGGAACTGTCACATGTGGCGCTTGGTCACCAGATGATCAACAGGTTTCAATAAAACTTTTTAATTTTTAATTATGCATTGAACTAAAATAAAATTATTTTATATATACTGTAGGTTTATTTTGGAACAAGTAAAGGTCAAATGAAAGTATTAGATATTCATGGTACTCCCGTCTCTCAAGTAAATTTAGCCGATGACTCTGGAATATCTTCTATGGCATGGTCATGTGAAAAATTTTGTATGAATGAGACTCAAAGAAAGTCTGACTGTATGAGTTAAATTTTTTTTTTAATTTCATTTTATTTCTGATGAATTGCTTTTTACAGATTTATTTAAACATATGCTTGCAATATGTTGTAAAAATGGTTCTATTCAATTAATGCGTCGTTATGATGATCCAGCTCCAATACTTATACATACTGGCTTATGTCCAATTTATATGGAATGGGCTAACTCTAAAGAACTTTTATGTGTTGCTGGATCAGTACCAGCTAAACCGGGTCATAATATTATACAAATTTATTCCGATACTGGCCAATTAGTTTATTCTATAAATTTACCTTTTACAACAGTATGTATTGTATTTAATGAGTAATGAAATATTAAAAAAATTTTAATGAAAAGTTTATATAAATACAACTAATTATTATAGATGGAAGTAACTGCTGTAACATGGGCACATAATGATCGACGTATATTTATAGCTACTGGACCTGAAATACATGTTGCTTGTGTGTCAGCTTCAATTCTCCCACTTCATATATTATGTGCATTACGTCTTTTTGATGAGTCTAAATTTCCTCCAAGTGAATTACTTCCTATTAGTATTCAAGATACTTTAACTGCTATATCTTCATCTACCATTTTTGTAAGATTATTTTAATAATTAAGAGTATAACTTTATTTGAGAAATAATTATCATATTTTGCTTTTAATAGTGTGAAGTACCTAAATTATCTGAATTAAGGCATTTTGTCAGTAGTTCTCCAAAAAATCGTTTATACTGTACAGTTGTACAACATGTTAATGGCCCAGAAACTACTCCACCAAGTACAGTTTGTTATGTTTTATACATGGAATATCTTGGAGGTTTAGTACCTTTATTAAAAGGTAAAAGAATTAGTATATTGAAGCCAGAATTTGTTATATTTGATCCACAAGTTGATGGTAAGATAAACCTTACAGGTTTTATATGAAGTCAAAAAATGGTCTTTAAAATTTGTGCGTTTTTGTGTTTTAGATGCGACATATAACAGTGCACAAATAACATACAATCATTTTGGCTGGGATGATTCTGAATCAGATGTTTGCTCTAGTCCTAAGCTCCATAGAAAAAATAGACACAAATCTAAAAACTTTAGTAATCGTCAGTTACAACTTAATTGTTACACTGATGTTTTACCAGAAGTAATTTTATTTTACTGAAAAATGATAATTTTATAATAAATTATAATCATAATTAATTTTATAGGATTATCGTTTAGCTGAAGTTACAGCTAATGTATGGGGAACTAAATTTCATATTCGTGGTCTATGTGATGATTTAACAAAAAAATTAGGTAGAGTTTCTTATCGCACATCAATTTTGCATTTACAACCACGGCAAATGACACTATCAATTGTTGGTGATGGATTGTCTTTAACAAATAATTCCTCATCACACCAACAATTTCAAAGACAAAGAAGCTGTAGTGTAGGGTCTTCAAATCCTAAAGTAACTGTTTCAAGAGTAATGGAGGATACTAAAGTATCAGAAACATTTGCTCATAGTTTACCAGCTAGCCCTGTTACAGCCAAAAAAAAAACAGGATCTCCTTCGCCAATTAGGTATTCTACATATTATTTATTATAAAAATTGATAAACTAGATAAATATATTTTAAAATGTATATTGTTTTTTATACTGTAACAGTACAGTATGTATATCAGATTTTGTAGGTTTTCTGGATGATCAAAAAACAAATCTATATTATATATGTTTTAATACAAAATGTTATTTTAATTTTATAACATGCAATAAAACTATAAGTCTTAAAAAAAAAAAACCAGAAATATTTATTATGTCATTATTGATAAATCTTATTTTGTCAACTTTTAAGATAAACAATGTTGCTATATAAACGAAATTATAATTATGGGCAGATGAATATGTGTTAGAATATATTAATTAATATCTAAAAACTTAATTTTAGTCTTAGATGTACAATTTTTATTTTCTCTAAAATATTTTTTTATTTACAGAAAGCGTTTAATGAATTCACCATTGTTTTTTCGTAAAGTACTTAGAACACAAATTGAACCAGATTATCAAAATTTAGAAACGTTCCAAAAATCACAAATAAAGAATAAAGTAAAATTTATAGTGTTATAAATTAAGTAATATACAAAAAATAGTTCTTCATAACTAATATTAATACTATTGTACAGATCAATATGTGTAGCAAAAAGCAGCAATTTGTGATGCATAACAAAGCGCCAATATGGAATGATTTAACTCAAGTTTATCAACTAGATTTTGGTGGTCGTGTAACACAAGAGTCGGCAAAGAACTTTCAAGTTGAATATAATGGTATACAAGTGATGCAGTTTGGCCGTATAGATAGAAATAATTTTGCTTTAGACTTTCAATATCCTTTTTCGGCCGTCCAAGCGTTTGCTGTAGCTCTTGCCAGTGTCACACAAAGGCTCAAATAAACTTTTCGTTATATATTTTATCAAAAGATAGTATACATAGATATATATATTTTTTGGATTTGTGTTTAATAATCTTAATAAGTTAACCATTTTGTTAATAACTAATTCCCTTAATTATTAATTTAGTTTACCTAGTGCAATATATACAATAAAGGTTCCTTGTTAGATGTAGACTTTCACTTAACTTTTTTTATTAAAGCTGTAATTTTAAGATAGCTTAATAGAAATGTTTGCTATCAGTTATAGTTGTAATTTTCATTTCAATGTTTATATTGTGTTCATATGTATTACTTACTAGTTAAGAAAAGAAAAATATAAATACATACTTAATTCAATTATGTCAATTTTTTTAATGACCTTATCATAGGAGCAAATAGTAAAATAAGTTGTGGGATACTAAGTAGATTACAGAATATTAAAATATAAGAATATAAAAATGATTGAAATTTAAATTAGTAGCATTAAAATTATCATATTAAAAAGATCATACATAGGTGTGTTCAAGCCTTTTTTAACAGACCTACAGCCCTATGAAATGAGGAAGAACAATTCTACTCCTCTCACTGCTAACTGTTAAACTAAAAATAAAATTTTATTTTTCATAAAATATGTTTTAGGGAAAGGAGATTAAATTTAACCTTAATTTTATGTTTCATAAATGATAAATACATAATTTTAATATTGGTTACTCAAAATAAAATAAAAATTTAACACTTAATTTTAAAGAAATGATTAATTTAATGATATTTTATTAAAAAAAAAAATTACTTAACAATAAAGACATACAAACAACTCATTAGTATTAAAGTTTTTTTTAATAAACATAAAATACATTAATTTAAACAAACATTAAGTTTAAAATTACAATTATAATTATTTTTACAGAGAACTATTCTTAAAAATAATAAATATTTATTAAAATTGATAATATGTAAGAGGAACCGCGACTGATGATAAAATTTAAGTGCCACAAATTTTAAAGGTAGCATTCGGGCACTTACCTACAAACTTACGAGTTAATAATAAACTCGTAAGTTGATTTTATAGTGTTTTAACTTACTAAAGATGATCAAATTAATGGAAATAATTAACTCATGTATAGTTTTGTAACAATGTTGATAAGTTAGCAAGTTAAAAATTAAGTTGAAAATTTTGTTTAATTGAATTCAGTTTAAAAAAATGTTTATTCAATTCTTTTGTTCTTTAACTGTTATTATTTTTAGCCAAATTCGATTTTTTATTGATCGGCGATGCTAGAGAAGGCTGAAAATCGATTTTCAACTTTTATAATGAAATAGAAAGAAAAAAATATTAGTGGTAAAATTATTATTTTTTATTTGTTATGTAATCTGACATCGTTTTGTATATTTTGGTATTAGTTGCATTGTTTTATTTTTAAAATTTGTTATTAAAAAAAAATCTGTTAGAGGATCACATATAAAAATTATTTTTTTCTCTCTAGTTACATAATTTATAATGAACAAAACTAAAGAAATTACAGATGTTTGGTCTCAAGTTCAAAAATCCTCATCCCTCCCACAATTTCCATGTTGAAGTTGAATAATTTTCCAAATTGTATCAACTAGAAAATTAATTGCTCAACATTAACTACAATTGTGATTTACCTAATGAAATTAGATTAATTTACCTCGTTTCGACCTGTAGTTTTAGGTATGTGCAGTGCTATGTTGAGAACAATAATTCTCAGCAGGCCGAAGAGTTATCTACCGTCTCTTTCGTAGTCGATACACATATGTTTTTCAAAAATGTAAACTTCGTGTTTCTTATACAGGACCACCTCATAGAGACGTCACTGTGACCTATGGCTTATATTTTTTTAAAGTTTCTGTAATTTCCCAGTATAAATGTAATTTTGTCCCTGACTCCATAAATCTCTACGTTTCTTTTGGCGAATTCTAATTGCTTAGCATCGATATCAACAGCGATTATTCGTGTGTATCTCTTGGTCAATTGGATGATGTTTCCACCAGCACCACAAAACGGATCCATAGCGACGTCCAGACCGGGGCATATCAACGCTATGTGTGTGCTTAAGATCTCGGGACAAACAGAATAAAATGATTCTGAAAAATCGTTAATAATAAAATACTAAAGTTTGCTTAAATTATTATTTTATTACCATTGTCAATCATGATTCCTTGGTCGACTTTAGAGAGCAATAAGTACCTCTTATCCCATACATGATTTTTAATATCACGAGGACGAGTTCTAATAACGGTTTTTTTGTTATTAATATTTTCACGTCGTAAAATTCTATTCTCTTTAGTCTTTTCCAAGGCTTTTGATGTTTTAATAATTTCTGCTAATTCTTTAGACGGTTTTCTATTAATATTGTTAGAATTATTTATTAAAATGTTTTTTTTCTTGAGTTAATGTGTTAATATTACCCGGCAATAATTTAAATGATTGAGTTGCAAAATTGTTTTTTTACTGTGATGTGTTCGTGTTAAAAGAATTATTAACTAATACGGAAGTATCTGTAAATGTGTTGGTGGGTTGTTTTTCAATTTGTAAAACAATTTTTGAATACATTTTTTTAATAGAGTTAATTTTGTCATTCAGTAATGAAATATGAAATATGAAAATGTGTTTTAATATTATTTTCTAGCAATATTTTAGACGATGGGGTTGAAAGATTATTTTACGACGATGTTTGATTGAAGTTCAATGAATTATATATTAATGTAATTTACTCTATAGACGTTTTAGAGAGCTCTTTTTTGGTTTCAATAATCGTAGTTAGCGCAAATTTATCTTCTCTCAACAGTTCTTCTAAAATTGAATTATTTGTCATATCTCTAAATTAATACGATGTGTAGTCAAATTCGTACCAGTATTCATAATAGGTTTTACTGTTTTAGTTAATGTCTTTTTCATTTTTGAAAGTTTCATTTCCAAAAAATTCTGCAGTGACACAACTGCCAGTTCGATAAACATAATATCTTTGACTATTTGAATCGGAATTATAAAATATATGACCAATGTTATCACGAAAAAAAAATTTGAATGTATTTTTGTTTATAAACTTAAAACTTAAACTTAAAATTTTTAAGTTATATTACGAGAAAAAAGTAAGATTTAAAGAGTTTTAAATATATGCGTACTAATTTATCACAAAAAAATTGTTAAGCAAAAGATCACCGATTTAAAAATCATTTTTATCCATTTAAGCAAAAATAAAAGTCTTGTTTATTTTTTATTTAAGCCAATTAATATAACAAAAATTTTTGACAATTGGCCAACAATTATTAAATTTGTTTCATAAAATTTGTTATTTTGAGTATAAAATGTAATTAATTTAAAGTTATAAACAGTACCGATATATTCATTAAATAAAGCTACTGTCAATTACTTAAAAATTAATTATATCTTAAAAATTATTTCTATGAAACTAAAATTAAAATTTTTGTTTATAACATTCTATTGATAATAACTTATTCGATTACTATTTTACAATTGCTTTTTATTCTGACATACACGATATGTATAATTCGAAGAATATAAAATAGATATTGGCTGAAAACAGCCTATGGCGATCGTGAAACATATTTATCTTTGAATTAATGAAAAATTTTGTTTTAGCAACGTTAATTGTCGTTGGCTGAAAAATTGGAAAAAATTTAGTATAAAAGATCTAGTAAATTAAAAATTCATTTAGGACTTTAAGTCTAACCAGCGAACAAAGAACATATAAGCTCTTGTGGAAGCCAACCAGTCTAGAATTCTCTATTATATTTTTCATATTGTTTAAATTCATATTTTTTAACTTTCATTTTTTTATCGAGTGAATTTCATTGACAAGATGGACACTTTTCCTATTTTTTCGTCTATGGTGCTTGTTTATTTGTTTATTCCTATTTTAGTTATTCAAGATCTCGCTTTTAGTGGTATTTTAGTTTTAATATTTCTTATATTTTTGGACGATGAACTTTCTAAGCAAAACAAAACTATGAAGTCGAAAATTAAACCAATTAGTACATCAATTTCGACAATAGACACCAATGCTACACCTATTTTGACAAATATTTTATCAGATCAAAAATCTACAGAGACATCCACACAAATTACGACTGTTGAAACAGAAGAAAACATTTTTGAGAATAATACACCTGACAATTCCATTGAAACTAACCTGAACAGTGCTTCTTTGAATATATCACACCTCCACCTACCGAACAATGACTCTACCAATGATATCACCCTCTGCCAGCTCCAAAACGCTACAGAGGTGTGCGAGAACAACATTTCGATTCAAATAAGTCACTCGACTGAATCAATTCAATCACATACCACAGATTCATCATTTACCCATAACACTTCGAAAATTAAATATAACTTGGACAGTAATAGCTCCAATAAAACTAGCTCTCATCATATTCCCAAGCACTTATGGAATAAAAGACACTTCTTGTTTGAAAAATTTGATGACGGAATTCTCTTGGACTATGGTAAATTAATACTCTTTATTAATCTTTTATTTTTTTAATATTAACTATTATTTTAGAATCATTTTATTCTGTGTGTCCTGAAATTTTGAGCAAGCATATTGCCAAAAGGTGTGAGGGTTATNAATAAAACTAGCTCTCATGATATTCCAAAGCACTTATGGAATAAAAGACACTTCTTGTTTGAAAAATTTGATGACGGAATTCTCTTGGACTATGGTAATTTAATACTCTTTATTAATCTTTTATTTTTTTAATATTAACTATTATTTTAGAATCGTTTTATTCTGTGTGTCCTGAAATTTTGAGCAAGCATATTGCCAAAAGGTGTGAGGGTTATAATTTAGCGATGGATCCATTTTGTGGCGCCGGAGGTAACGTAATTCAGTTAGCAATGAAGTATAAAAAAGTGATAGCGATAGACATTGATCCGAACAAATTAGAATTCGCCAAGAATAATGCGGAAATTTATGGTGTGAGGGATAAGATAGAATTCATAGAGGGTGATTTTTTCACTTTAGCTAAAGACCTAAAGAAATACAAAGCTGAAGTCATTGTAACTTCGCCTCCATGGGGAGGACCGTCGTACAAACGCCATAAAACATACAGTTTGGAGAAGAATATGTGTAGTGAATACGAAGGTGGCGGTCGAACGATCTTCGATTTGGTCCGAAGTATTGCTCCCAACGTAGCACTACACATACCTAAAAGTACTGATCGAAATGAAGTAAGTTTCTATTTCATACACAATACATATAACATTAGTTAATATTTTTTAATTCATTTTTTAGTTGTTCAAATTAGGAAAATACTATAATAACAACATAGAAATACAGAATAACTTTATCAATGGAAAACTGGATTCCATCACCACATTTTTTGGTAAATTCAATAACATGAATTCAAAACGCAAACAAACTAATATAAAACTCTTCAGTCAAAAAAGAGATCATAATTAATAATCAAATTTTGCGATTCAACTGATATAGACCATAGCTAATCTCGACATCAATATAGAATGTTACAGATTTTGACTTCCAGTAATTAATGATTATGAACTATGACAAATTCGCCGATTTCAACAATTATATTTACCTTATAACTCTTATATTTTGCCTCAGATATAACTGCAGGACGACCCTTATATCTTTAATGATAAATTTAAACAAGTATACACTTATTATTTACATTTTTGGTGCTCATCAGTTATTTATTGTTATTACTTTTATTTGTTATGTATTTTCATTTTTTTATTTATTTTTTATTATTCATTAATTTTTTTTTATATTTTTCATAATAAAAACTGGGTATTTTTAATTTTATTTGTGCCATTGAATTTGTGTTTCTATTACACATTTTTTATTTTATGATTGTTATTCATTTCTAAGTATTCTATTTGTTTTCTCACAATTGTATAAATCATTGTTAACGTGTTTTAATAAATTAGTTGTGTTGTAAAACAGTTCTATTAATTCAAAAAATAATTTATTTATCATTTTAAATGCAAAAATACAATAAATTAAAAATTCCTTATTTTTAAATAAAAGACTACGAAATTTCCATGTTTATTTTAGTTAGCGACGTTTATAAAATAGGAATAAACAAATTTTTTATACATTATTTGAATAATTTTTTTAATTATAGAGTACTATAAGTATTATAAGTTAAAAAAATATTTGTCACGACGTATTATCTATGTGCAAATGACCGCCGTTTTTAAAACGATTTTATTCTCTCAACTTAAATGGCTATTATTATTTTAAAAATTATATGCGTTAGACAATTTTTGTTATAAATATTTTATACATAATATTTTTTCCGACCTACTTTTTTTAGATATCAGATCATATCCGCTTATACAGAAGGGTTCAACTTGAAACATACGTATAAAAAGTTACAACTTGAAACTATGTGACATACTATAAGTTAAAAAAAAAATTAGACCCATGGAAAAATCAGAGCTGGCAGTCACTTGTCTAGTTTCCTTTTGAATAACTACCCTGATTTATTATATAAATTAATATTATATAATAAAAAAAACTGAAGTGCATATTAATGAAGTTGTTGGATGACATTTTTTAATATGTACTAGTATTTTTTTGTTAATTAAGGATCGTATTTCCAAAACTTAAAATATTCCAAAAAATTTTAATTGATGTTATGATAGTAGGAACAATTTTTTTGTAGTCAAAATTATAAAAAATTAGAATTCTCTATTCATTTATTTTTGCCTTTAAGTTTAATTTTTCGATATTTCCAAATAATGTGCATTTTGTTAACAAATATTATTAGTTAGAAAAATGTTTGGCGTCACCTACGCTTACCGGCACCGATGACCAACTCTGAGTGTAGTCCTTTCGCGAGATGAACCTAAACACCCAAAGTATAAGGCCTCTAGCTTTATTTCAACTTAGATAAACCCATTAGATTGAAAAGTTCAAAGATCCTACAAAACCGTCACATAGGAGCACTTAATAATGTTCCAATTAGAAATCCGTTTTTATGATCAATAAACTAAAAACTGCTAATAGGAATAATTTTGTTTTACAATAAATTTTACACTTATAACGGTTTGTAAAAATGTTATTCTATAAATTTTTATAAAAATATTATTATTTAATGAAAAAAATGGGAGTAGTATGCTTAATAAATCACTCTGTATATAACAAAGGCTAAACAAAAAGTTATAAAATATTCTTAATATTTATATACATTTTTTTAGCTTCGATTCGCAGCTGAGAAGGTATTAATTTTACTATGATGTGTTTTTTTTTTTATTTTTTATTTTTTTTTTTTGTGTCTATGAACGCTCAATCTCAGCTCTCGCTGGACCGATTTTGATGAACAATATGTCAAAAGATCACAAATCGTATCTAGTCGAAGACATTACCCTCAAAAATTGAAAAAAATTCCCTCGTTCCCCGTAAACGGGGGAAATCCCCCAAAAAATTACAAATTTAAAAATCGCTAATTTTCGATATTTTTTCAATTTTTTTTACTTAAAATTGCCATAACTTTTTTAAAAATGACCGAATCAATATAATTTTTTTTTTTATAGATACCTTAGATAATTACCTATCATTTTATATATTTTTGTGAACATTTGACCCTTTAACAGCCCAAAGGATGGGGTTTCAAAATGGTAACTTTTTTACAAAAAATTAACTTTTTCAACTTAACTTTTGAAAATGTTCCGGAAAGACTGACAATTTTATATATACCTTAAATTAAAGCTAATGTAATATACTTTAATTTGAAAAAAAAAAATTTGACCTCTGGACTTGTCTTCATGGTGAAAATGACTACCGTATGCAAAAATATGCTATTTTTGTGAAAAAATTCTTGATATTATATTTTACATTTTTTAACATTATGTTGCTATAACTTTTTAAAAAATGCATGAATCAACTTTATTCTTTAATGATAAATACTTTATATATACTTCTTTCATTCGACATACTTTTTTTTAAAATCGGACCATTTCCCTTTATACAGGGGGGGTGCAAACCTTTTAAAATGCGTATAGAAAGTAGAACTTTTTCAACTTAACTTTTGAAAATGTTCCGGAAAGACTGACACTTTTATATATATCTTAAATTAAAGCTTATGTAATATACTTTAATTTGAAAAAAAAAAATTTGACCTCTGGACTTGTCTTCGTGGTGAAAACGGACATCAAAGTTAAAGAAAAACGTACGATTTCCGTGAAAAAAATCTCGATTTTATATGTTATATTATTTAATTTATATTTTATATAACTTTTGGAAAAATGTATGGATCAATATTATTATTTTTTTATAATAAATATTTATATACCCCTTTCATCTGGCACGCTTTTTTTGTAAATCGGATCATACCCCTTTAACAAGGGGGGTCAAAACTTTAAACATGCGTATTGTTACTACGATATTTTCAATTTAATTTTTGAAAGTATTCCGGAAATACTGACACTTTTAAATATATCTTAAATTAAAGCTTATGTAATATACTTTAATGTGAAAAAAAAAAATTTGACCTCTGGATTTGTCTTCATGGTAAAAATGACTACCGTATGCAAAAATATGCTATTTTTGTGTTAAAATTCTGGGTTTTGTATTTTATTTTATTTTAAAATACCTGACAAGGGGAGTACAGATTTTCATAAATATTATATAAATTAAAATTGATATAGTATAGATAGTTAAACTTATTTAAATATGTTTGTTTCTTTTAAGTCGAGAAAAATAACTTTGAAATTTGAACTAGCTTAAATAGCCAATTTTTCAACCGCCGGAAGCAACGTACGGTTGCCGAGTTGGTAAAATTTATGTTTTACACGCTTGGGGTACGAGGTTCCAACCCGCATATGGCAATGAATTTTTTGCATTTTTTCTTAATTCTTTTTAAGTTAGTATAAATTTTAACTCGTTTGATTTTTATCACATTTAGATTCAATAACTTCAATAAAGATCAAGGATCCCATCACTTTAGTCGCCCCTTGCAAGAAGAAATTTCTTATTCGTATTAAAATTATTTTACTATATTTTAAGTTTTCGCTTCGATGCAAAGCCGAGAAGATATTTTTTTGTGACTATCATTTATTTTCTCTGCTCTAACTTGACCTACTTTTTTCAACAATACGTCAAATTACTACAATTCGTATCTAGTTGAAGATATTACTCTCAAAAATTGAAAAAAAAATTCTAATTTATCAATTAAACAGTTAGTTATTACATCGTCTCCATAAAGACAATTAAAATCATTAATTTCTAATGTTTTCAAAATATTTATTAACGAATGAAGTTTGATATGATAGGTTTCAACTACAAAATTAAATCATTTTACTTTGTAATTTAATAATTTTATTACTCTGTTTGTGTGTGCTACTATTAGACTATAATATTCAAATTTTTTTCTAACGTGTTGCTATATAAATCATTTCTAAAAAAAATGATTGTTTTTTCTCCTGAATTAACAATTGATTTTTACAAATATAATCAAATTTTATAATAAACTCAATTGAGTAAATCTTTTTAACAACTTTGTTTTGATTGGTACATTTAGTTAAAGTAAATCATTAAAATTAATTAAGTTCTCAATATTTCAATTATAGAATCTTTTCAACAAACAACAAAAGTTCCTAGGAAATTATTACTATTACTTCTATTTAAGTTATCTATTACCATAAAAATGCAAAAAAATATTGAGCTTTTCTGATAAATTTACAATAAATAGTAATTATAAAACTTTCTGACTGCATATTGATCTTAACGATACAATTTTTTTAATTGTCATAAAATTTTCTATTTAATTATGTCAATGTCAAACTTACCAATTGAGCTAAAAGTTATGGTAAAATAAATTTTTTTTTTTTATTATAAACATTTACAACAATCAACTTTAAACGATTAACAAAATTGGTTAAATATGTCATTTTCCTTATTTTTAACTTATTAATAATCAAATTAATATTAAATATTATATCAAATCAGTATTAATTTAAAACAATTTTTTTTGTTCTTAATTATTTTTTTTTATATGTAAAAACTATTTTTTAATAATATTAAAACTTAGAAGTTATAGAAAAAGTCTAATTGCACATTTTAAAACATCGCGAAAAGTTGATTTAGAATAGTATATTTTTGTTTCTGATGGAAGTTCCTTGTAGTCCAGTGTATAAAACTTATAACTTTGTTAATTGTTATAACTTTATCAAAAATGACCAAATCAGTATATTTTTTTTTATTTAGATGCATGTCTTTATCTATCATTTGGTTTTTTTTATAAATCTAACCCTTTACCTGCCCACAAGAGGGATTCAAAATATTAACTTTTTTTTTTTTAGTTAAAGTAAATCATTAAAATTAATTCAGTTCTGGATATTTCAATAGTAGAATCTTTTTAAATATCAAAAATTACTTAGAAATGATTACTATGATTTCTATTTAAGTGTTCTATTACGATAAAAATGCAAAAAATAATGAGTTTTTCTGATAAATTTACAATAAATAATAATTATAAAACTTTCTGACTGCATATTAATCTTAAAAATAACATTGTTTTAATTCTCATAAAATTTTCTATTTAATGATTCATTCTAGTCAACGAAGGAGTAATTTTGCAGAATAGCAGAAAAAATTCCCAACAAACTTTTTTTTTTTTTGTTTTAATTAGGCAATTGGTGGATTATTCCAAAAGCAACATCAACTCTTATTTCTTTAATTATATCATGATTAGTAGTTCTTTGATTTTAAAATATAATATTTGAATATATACTAATTATAATTATTAAATTTAGTATGAAATTGATATTTAATATTGTAATTTAAACGGAGAAATTATAAAAATAATAAAGAAGTTATATTTTGCTTTACTTTTACGTGTATAAAAATTTAAAGGGCTTGATACAATAATTTTCAATAAAAACTGTTTGTTACTATAAAAAAATGCACTGGACTACAAGGAACTTTCATCAGAAGCAAAAATATACTTTTCTAAATCAACTTTTCGCGTTGTTTTCAAATCTGCAAGTAGACTATTTCTATCACTTCTAATTTTTTATATTATTACTAATTATATATATAAAATAATAATTAAAAGAAAAAAAAATTTGTTTTCAAATTATTACTGATTTGATTTTTAATATGTTAAAAATAATCAGTCCAAATTTTCAATTTTAACCTATTTTTTTGGTTCTTTAAAGTTGATGAAAAATTTTTGATAAAGATTTATGAAAGTTTATAGTAAAATAAATTGAATATATTACCATAACTTTTAGCTCAATTACAAGTTTAAAATTGACATCTAGGCCAGTCAACAAAGGAAAAATTGCGGAAAAAATTTTGTTTTTTTAAAAGTTGAATTAAAATATGTATAATGACATACTAATAGTCCTCAAGATTGGAATTGAGCTTTTTTTTTAAATCCTCGCAAAAGTTCAAAAATATGAGCTTTCTTAATTTTCTCAAAAAAAAATATTTAACTTACAAAAAAAAGTTTCGCACAAAAGTTGTTTAAAAGACAATTATAAATAAAAATATAATCTTATATTTTTTCATTTAAACAAATATTTTTCGAGTTACATTACATTTAATATGAGTAATAAAATTTATATTCCATTTTTTTCATTTTACGGTTACTTTTTATCATGTTATACTTACATTAGACACAATGTTATAAATGCATATGTGTGTATGTGTGAGTTTATTTATTTATTGTATCATTAAAGTGTAGTGTATATTGAGATACAACCGATAGAGTAGGTAATTGATTTGACGCTATATTATTTAAACCCAACTAAACGCTAAATTGTACATTCCGAAATAACAATCATATTATGTCAATTGCCACCGGAATATCTGGTAATATTTTTCTTTTTCTTTGCCTTAATCCCAACTACTTGGGGTCGGGCACCCTTATCCTAAGATTCCACTTGACACGATCTCCCACATCTTCTACGCTCACATCAGCTGTCCTCAAATCGCATTCAATAGCATCCCTCCATCTCTTTTTTGGTCTTCCTCTATCTCTTCTTCCTTCAACATTCATTTCTATAACTGTTCTTACAGCTTTCGATTCTTCTTTCCTCATACCATGACTAAACAATCTAAGTCTATTTTCTGTCATCTTATCCACGATTGACGCAACACCTATACTTCCTCTTATATGCTCGTTCCTTATCCTATCTTCTCTAGTCACTCCACTCATCCAACTAAGCATTCTCATCTCTGCTACACTTATTCTCTGCTCTACTTTCTTATCAACCGCCCAACACTATTAACCATACATCATAGCTGGCCTCACAATTTCATACTAAATTTAAAAACTATAATTAGTATTTATTCATATATTATATTTTAAAATCAAAGAACTACTAATCAGGATATAATTAAAGAAATAAGAGTTCATGTTGCTTTTAAAATATTTCACCAATTTCTCTAAAGGAAACACTATCTACAGATTTGCATCGAAGCGTTTCTTATGATAGTGATTTTAATCACTGTCAGATATCATCTATACTTATCTCATCTATGCCACGTCTATACTGTGCCTCGACCCCACTGTGCTACCGTTTTTCTTTTTTGAGCATACCTAAAAATATATCAATTATAGAAAATAACTTTATTATAATATATTTTGACTACTTTAAATTTTTTGGCGATCTAAATTATAAAAGAATTCCAATGAGACTGCAAGGTAAATTCAATAAGACTGTTGTGAGACCAGCTATGATATATATTTAAGAGTGCTAGTCGGGCAACAAGAAAGTAGAGCAGAGATGAGAATGCTTAGATGGATGAGTGAGATGACTAGAGAAGATAGGAAAAGGAACGAATCATAGATAAGATGAAAATAGACTTAGATGGTTTGGTCATGTTATGAGGAGAGAGGAATCGGAAGCTGTAAGAAGAATTAAAAGACCAAAAAAGAGTTAAAGGGATGTAATTGAATGCGATATGAGGACGGCTGATGTAAGCGTAGATGATGTGGGTGATTGTGTGAAGTGGAAGTTTTAGATAAGGGTGGTCGACCACAAGTAGTTGGGATAAAGGCGAGGAAAATTGTAGAAGGTGAAGTCAGAAATAATAAGCCCCTCTGACAATTTTATTGAAATTTCGCCTATGCTGAAATCATTCGTCCATGTTAATTATTATGAACATATGACATATACGCTGCTACGCTAAAAGCAGTTTTAGAAATATGGTATACACCTTATGAATCCCTAATTCATTTTTGCGATTCGCCAATATTAAACAATGACCTGTTGAAAAATTGAATATATATCCTCTATTTGTGTTACCTTTCATAGTTTTTTTTTTTTTAAACAATCAAATTAAATTGATAAAATACATATTTTTTGGTAAGTTGATCTCGTATTCAGAAATTCCTGGACGGGTGGTTTTAATTGAATTATTTCATTGTTTTTATAAGTGATACTCGGAAATCTCATATCGTTTGAACTGTTTCCTCAAATTATTTCAGCTAGGAGTAAAGTTTAAAAAATATTTGTTAGCAATTTTAACTTATACATTTTTTAAAGAATTGTTGACGAAAAAGCTACTGAATGACTGACATTGTTCAAGTATACTGGAATATAACTGTGTATTAATAGACCATTAATAAATAGTTGAGACTTCAAAGCTAAAAAATTGAAATATCTCCAGTTGATTTTTATATTTAAAGATAAAATTTAAACACATAAAGGATGTTTCAGTCGGTATCCTTTAAAAATTATCGGAAACAAAAATATAAGTAGTATATGAAAAATCTAAATGAACAATAAATAATAGTAGTACAAAAATATCTATAATGTGTAAAAATTATCAATGAACGATGTTACCTGATTGGTATTATATCAGTTATCAAGGGGATTTAAAAGAAGCTACTATTTTTTTTAAACAATTATTTATTAATTTCTACGTGATGTTTTTTTAGACTAGAGTAAATGACCATTAAAAAAAAAAATTCCAGCACAGTGAGATGCAGCATAAGTGAGACAAGTATAGATAATGTCTGACAGTGATTAAAATTACTATTACTATAAAACACTTCGATACAAATCTGCAGATAGTGTTCAATTTTTGAGAAGGAGTTATTAAATTATTCGAAATGCAGCAAGACTCCTATATTTCAATTACTTCCTCATTACAAGTTTTATGGTTTATTTGTATAACATATGAATAAATGATTATTATAAATATTATAGTAATTTAATATAATATTAAATTGATATTTAATAATTAAATATTGACATTTTTATAGAGAAATTATTAACATTTATAAAGTAGTTGTATAATTTGGTATTTGGACATAGTACTTTCCTAAATACTCCGGGAATAATTTTTTAAGCTCTTTTAATCAAATCTAAAAAAAATATTAATAAACGTATATCATGCAATTTACATAA